AAGAAGAACATTCAACGAACAGTCCCAATCCGGAACAGGGACAGTCCCATCCTCAGTGACACCACTACATAAAACTGTTTCCAAACACTCCGGAAGAAGACGGGTGCGTGGACCGTTTTGGACAAACAAAAATTCCTTGAAAAGAAAAGGAAAAAAAAGAGCGCGCTGCTCAACTTCCTCAACTGTCGAATAAAAACAAGTGGGTCCCACTTCCACCTGCTCATTCGTCCCCTCTCCAAAAAACTCTAAACAGTAAACACTCCCAATTCTCCACTTCCACGCCAACAGATCTCTTCTTCTCCCTCTCCGAACCCTAATTTCTCTTCGTTATTCTTCCGTAATGCGTTTCTTGTACTGCATTTTGCTCTTCTTGCTTCTGATTTGCGCTTTCCGGAGCTGCCATGGCCGCATCTTTAGCTTCAAGATGCACCACCGCTTCTCCGAACAGGTCAAGAAGTGGTCCGGTGTCTCTGGGAAGTTGTCTCTTCCTGATTCTTGGCCGGCCAAGGGAAGCATTGAGTATTATGCGCGACTTGCCCTCCGCGATCGCTACTTCCGCGGCCGGAGGCTCTCCGAATTTGATGGACCGCTGGCTTTCTCTGATGGGAACTCGAGCTTTCGGATTAGCTCGTTGGGATTGTACGGTAGCTTTTATGACTTCTGTTGTGATTTTTCTGTGTAGCTTCCTACTGTTATTATTATTATTTTTTTTTTTTTGAATTTTTATTTGTCTTGGATTTATCCGAGATTGTTTGCAGTCTGCATTACACTACCGTACAATTGGGGTCTCCGGGAATGAAGTTTATGGTGGCACTTGACACTGGAAGTGATCTGTTCTGGGTGCCCTGTGATTGTAGTAGATGCGCGCCCACGGAGGGCTCTCCTTACGCTTCTGTATGTTCCTCTTGACTACCGTTTGTTATTATTTTTCTTCTAACAGTAATCAGATTATCAGAACGCTCTTGATTTTTTTGTTGATATTCCTGGTTTCTGATGCTTGCCTGTGACGGTTCCAACATCCATTCAGATGAACCCAGCTATACACAACTAATATGAATTCTTAATCTTCTTAGACTCATTGTGCTTCTTTGTGTATTCTCTTATCGTTGGTGATGTATGGGATCATTTCTTTACCATTCTGTACCTTCTCCATTGGGACGGTGGTTTAAGTGATTTATGAGCAAATGGTGTACTATATAAATGGTGAATAATTCAAGGTGAGAGACATATCTTCAAAAGTCATGCATCCCTTCATCCTTTCAATTGTGCAATCATGCAGGATTTTCAGTTGAGTGTATACAACCCCAAAGAGTCATCTACTAGCAAAACTGTTCCTTGCAACAATAGTTTGTGTGAACAGCAGGATCAATGCATAATGGCCTTTGGAAATTGTCCTTACGTTGTCTCCTATGTCTCAGCTGAAACATCAACCACTGGTATATTGATAGAGGATGTTCTACACTTGAAAACTGAATATAAGGATTCGGAACCTATCCAGGCATACATCACGTTTGGGTCAGTATACGCTAAAGTTTAATTTGATTAAGCACCTCATTACAGGGCGACTCTGTTATGTAAACTGTTCTTATTTGCCCATGTCATTGCCTTGCCCTTCTCCCCATCTGTGCAGCTGCGGGCAGGTGCAGAGTGGCTCATTTCTTGATGTTGCAGCTCCCAATGGCTTGTTTGGGCTCGGCATGGAGCAGATATCAGTTCCTAGCATATTATCTAGAGAAGGTTTCATGGCAAATTCTTTTTCTATGTGCTTTGGTGATGATGGAGTCGGAAGGATCAATTTTGGAGACAAGGGTAGTCCAGAGCAGGAAGAGACCCCATTTAATGTGAACCAATTACAGTAAGTGTAACTTTGGAGTCGCTCCATGTCAATATTCAATGAATTCAAGGTTATATTTCTCTATTCATCAAGTTTCTTGTATTTCATATCTCAATTTCAGCCCAACCTATAATATCACAGTTACTCGTGTTCGAGTGGGCACAACTCTAATTGATGCAGATATAACTGCTCTTTTTGACTCTGGGACATCTTTTACATACTTCACCGACCCAATCTACACCAAGCTTTCCGAAAGTGTAAGCATTTCAAGTGATGAATATTTATCATCAATTTTTTTCTAATTAATTATATAACTTTTTCAACCTAATGGAACTTTTTTAAATTCTCTTTTAGTTCCATTCACAAACAAGAGATGGACGTCGCCCCCCTAATACAAGGATACCTTTTGAATATTGTTATAACATGAGGTCGTGTGCTGAACCTATACGTATTTACTTTAACCTCGATCCTATTTATAAACCTTTATTGTTTACCTCTTTGTGAAGGCAGTCCAGATGCAAATGCTTCTCTGACACCTGGTATTAGTTTAACTATGAAAGGTGGAAGTCCCTTTCCTGTCTATGATCCGATTATTGTCATCTCCACTGAGGTAGCCTGCTGTTTCTGTTGTGTTGCTTGTGTTATTTCCTTAAGGTGCTCTAAATACTTTCCATGAAAATTTGCAGAATGAACTCATTTATTGCCTGGCCGTGGTCAAGAGTGCTGAACTGAATATAATTGGACGTAAGTAAATTATGCTGCAATTGATCATATTTGCATTAGAGTGAATTTCATCTTGGTTCAATAACATTCGTATGTGAAAGCTGGGGACAAGTACTTCCCGGAAATTGTGTTGCTTGCTGTCAGATCAGTTAATCCATTGTCTCAGTCCAGCTCTTACCTTTCTGGAGACATAGTTACTTATACAATTATTGATCTTTATGCAGAAAACTTCATGACTGGCTACCGTATTGTATTTGACCGGGAAAAGCTTGTCTTGGGCTGGAGGAAGTTTGATTGTATGTTATGTGCTTTCACCACAAATGTATTGTCATTCTTTTCGTTCACATTATTATGGTCAAAGAAGTTTGGGCTTTTTTTGCAGGTTATGACATTGAGGAACAAAATCTCTTTCCAACGAAACCAGATGTTACTACAGTTCCTCCTGCTGTTGCTGCTGGAGTAGGTAATAACTCTAGTCCAGGATTAACAAAAGAGACAAAGTTTAGTTCTCAAATTTCAACTGAATCAGAATTCAATAGTTGCCATTCTTCTCTTTTGACTTGTTTCAGATTTTTCATCATATTGCTTTTTTTACTATAGACATTCAATTTTCAATGTTTTCTGGGCCATCTGGTGACCCATGTATAAACGCTCTGTGATGTCTTTATATCATGACCTTATCTTAATATTGATAGAGCTCCACTTTAAATTTTTCATTTAGCCACTCTACCATCAACCAATATTCCAAATTATGTGGATTTTGTTGATTGATTGATAAATGGAATGAGAGGTCGTCTAATGTCTTACCACTTTTCTATACATTTATCCATATGTTGCTGACTGCTATTGAAATAGTAGTGTTAAAGAACTACTCGTTCTTTTTTCAATCACTATACCTATAACGTCAAATACCATTACCACCACTTATCTTAGTGGCAGGATTTCTCTTTATTGTATTTTATTTTATAATAAGAAGTGCAATTTCGTTAATATGTGAAACATGCAAAGTTTTGTAGGTGTCTAGTTGAGATGTATAGATTTAAGAGAATAATTTAAATGAAGGAACAAAAACTATAAGTTCCACAGTTGATCAAAGTTTTCAGAGGTCTTGTTGTTCCTTTATATCCATAACTTCGAAAACACTGAACAAAAACTATTTCTAGGATCCCTTAAGTCTTAACTATTCCTAGCTAAACCCGCCAGACTTCAGCTTGATCCCTTAAAACTGTTATCTGAAGGTTTAAGAGAAGCCATTCTTTCACATTCCTAAGAATAGTCTACAGGGATATGACAGTTAAAGATGCTAATCAATCCATTCCAAAGGTCAAAAGTTCCAGGACAGATTAGGAACAAACGATCTTGATCCTTTTCATAATAATTGAAATGCAGCACCCACCAGTTAGGACTAAGGGTGATAAACGGATTCCTTCATTCCACCTTATCATCAGTATTAATGCCTCCTAATTAGAGAGCCTGTAGGCACGCTTTACATTTCGTAGGAATAGATGCCTTCCACAAAATCTTGCAACAAGCTGGCTGTATGACTTGAGGCCTTTGGAGAGAGATGAAAACATGGATTTTTATAGAGAAGAGCAAAATTTTTCAAGAGACCAAGTCCTCGCATCACAGTTGAGAGAGAAGTTGTCAAGAATGATGGATCATGGACTTCCACTCAGTTAACCAATCTGGAAGCCTTCTAAAAGTGTACCACTCCAAACCTTCTTAACTGTGATCCAAGATTCATAGCCAGGTTGAATGGCCTTGAAAGTAACTCCTTCAAAAATAGGGCCACCTTCAAGCTTTGGGTCCATCCAAAGAAGAGTTCTAGCAACGTCTTTTACTTTGGTTGTAGAATTGGAAACGAAAGTTTCAAGTTTTCAGATAGTTTTAAAGCAAGGACAGCGACAGCTAGGGGGAAGCAAAAAACAGGGAACCAGTTGCCTTTTTCTGAAAACATATTTATTCAGTATGACTTGTTTGCTTAGTTACCATTGACCTGTTTCTGTTAGATCATAACCTGAAGTCTAAATAGCAATAGTGAATGAATTAAATTTCTGGGCGCCTTGGAAGAAACTGATAGATAGATTTGATGCAGCAGGACGAAAGAATATCATATCATGGTTGTCATGACTGGAGTTATTATGGAATTAGCTGTTGCATTATTTTTCTTCTCTTTTTTTCCTTCTTCCCGGTGCATATTCTATTGTTTTGGAAAGCTTATTATATTATTAAAAGCTGAATTGATAATTGCAAGTTTAACTTTGACCAGTTCTTGCCCAACTCATCCCAGTAGGCGTCTGACTTTTATGGTTCGATATGAAGCCAGTTATCTTTATTAATAATTTGCACCAATAAATTATCTGGAAAATTGTGTGGGACTGGGACTTTTTCTGCTGAATGTTACAGAAGTTAATCTGAATTCCCTTGTTCCTTGGCAACTCGCACGTCTCTGTAAGGCCCCAATAGAAATTGTCTTCCTATTTTGCAAACTATTGGCCCGACTCTCTTCTGGGTTCAAGGATCAGGTATTGAACTGGATTTGGAACCAATTTGGTTGGTTCACTTCCGTGGATTATGTGTTTTTCTTTATCCTCTTTCCTCTCTGAATTTGATTTTTGTGGATGATAATTTAATATAATGTATGTCTTCCATTGCACTTGCCATTGTTTTTTGTTTGCAGTTGACTTGGGTGTTTAAAAATGAAATAGAGTTTAGTTTAGAAATCCAATTTGTATTGTACTGTATTGTATTTGCATTGCATGGGAAGACTTTGATGATTCAATGGTGGCGGGTCGTCGGAATTTATCATATCAAATGATAAGGAAAGCCAATCCGTTGAAATTTGAAACTCAATAGCGTAAGATTGTACTAAGTTTATCATACCCTTCACATGTCCAACTAAGCTAGTAAAGACTTTTTTTTTCTTTTTTAATTTCTGGGAATTTAAACCTAGGTTTCGGCTCGACTAATCTCACGAGGTAATTATTTAAATTTTTTTTACTTCTTTTTCCTTACCTTAATGGCACCAGGATAATTTTGAGTGTGGTTTAGGTGACTTGAAAATGTAATTTTTAAATAAAACTGCATTTTCTATCCGGAAATTTGGAAGAATTAGTAGGGTGTGTTTAAATTAGCACAGTTTTACAAGTGATTTTAGATAAGTAGCGGTGTTTTTAAGGTGTGCTTGGGAGTGATGGTAGAATGAGTGATTTTGATAAAAGAAATTTAATTATAATTGATTTTTCAAAATCACAGTGATATTTTAAAAATCAATTTAAAATGATTTTAAATTCTTTTAAAATTAAAATTTTAATTTGTCAAATATAATAATGAAAAATGAGTGATTTTGATAATGACAAAAGTGATTTTGGTCCTGTGAAAATCATTCCCAAACACATGTTAAATCTACTATGAATAAATTAAAAATATATATATTGGATTGATTTAAAATATATTTTTTAATAAACACTTTAGAAATGATTATCCAAAAGGTCATTTGGAAGTAATTGACAATCTTTGTAGTTTAAGCACTTAAGATGATTACTAAAAAAAAGTGCTTAAATGAAAAAATATACCAATAATTATTACGATTGAACTAAAATCCTAAACAAATACTTATTTTTTTCTAAGAGTCCTTGAGCTATGAGATTGTTGCCATTATATCTTAAAACTTATGAAATTGTTGTAATCAAATTCATCCACTAGCAAAGTTATATCAATAACGTTTTCACGCAACAATTTTATAACTTTATGGGAGAGGATTCGTTCAAACAAAACTTATCAAATTATTGATATTATATTCTATTTCAAAGGAAATAAAGATCATGTTATTATATTATTGTAATAAAGCGTTGAAACTGACTAAGGCCAAAATGATTGAAGCATTAAGGAAGCTTGGAAGCAAATTGCTACATGACCAAGTACGTGCCAAGTTGTAATTAACATATTTTAGTGTGCTTTAATTTAATTTAATATAATTATTATTCCAGCATAATAATAAAACCCTCTTATAAAATATGCATTTTGTATTGCTTATGTCAACGGCCTTCGCCAACCGCTTCCAACGTCCCGTTTCCTTGCCACTCTTCGCTCGTGAACCCACCACTCTACATTTTTTTTTCTTTTGCATTTATGTCCCCATTGTTCTCTGTATTTCTCTTTTTGACCCAAAGCGGATGTGTAATATAATGTCCGTTTAATTCCCATTTCAGTCTTTTAATGATGTAAATGTAAACATAGTTCAGCAATTAAGACATCTTACTTATTTTTTAGAGGTGGAAAATTTAAGCCTTCGTTTGTTGTACTAAAAAAATTGCAATATTCCACTTATAAAATCTTCTTATGTATTTCTTGGTCTCTAATATGTAGTTTTTTTATGGTTCATAATTTATTTAATAGGTGGTACAAAAAAAACCGAATAAAAAGCCAAGTGAATTTCGGATATCAATACCTATTTTTAATGATCTCCGAAATTCTCAATGTAATTTTTTATAAACATTTCTTAGAAAAACATTTGAACTCTAAACGAGAAACAGATAAAACAAAAAAAAGAAATATCAATTTAAGGTAGTCTTTACTAACTTAATTTTCAAGAGCATAAAATAATTATCAACTTCACACCTAATAAAAAAAATCTTTTCGGAACTATTTTCAAAAACAAAAATCAGTTGAAAAGTCATTACCATGAGCTATACTCACCATTTGGCAGTTGAAAAGTTATTACTATCAGTTACCCAAACATAATTCTCAACACATTAACACAATACACTGTGTTCCAATACCAAACTAGTCTACTAAATCTAACATGCTTTAAATGCTTATTAAATGATTTATTCAAAGTTTCTTTAATTTGATTAGGTATTAGTCAATTTTATTATTCCTTGTAATTCACTCCATTTTGACTATTTCGAATGAGTAATTATTAAAATCTGAGATTTATTTTAATTTATAAATAAACAACATCAAGTAATCACTAATTATCTTCACTTAATAAATTATTCTTGATTGATGAAATTAATCGATAGAATTTAAAAAATAAATGGTTATTAACATTAACATCTTCCTCTCACATGCGTCATGGAATTTTACTAAACTCATGAAAATTTCTACAGGATGATAGTATATAAAGTATCCTGACTACCTATTTTTTGTCATCAAATTTGAGGATAAATTTTTAAGTGGTTTCTAAATTTAAAAAATTTGATAGTTTGGTCCGTTGTGCAATGGTTTAAAAGAGTCCCTTGAGTCAAATTGTTGTTAGTGATTCATGAAATTGACATTTTTTGACCGGTCTGTCGATGAAAATGGTCACCCAATTGCAGGTCTTCCCTAGCTCAAGTGGTGATGGTCACTGGCAATAGCCTTCGTTAGGATTCCTTAATCTTTTCGGTTTTTTTTTTTTAACTGAACCACATTGTTTAAGATTAACACATTAGCAAATGTCACTTGGTCCCTTAAACTCCCACGTTAAAATTACGTGTGACAGTTGACTCTCAAGACCTTGTAGAACAATTTTGTAAAAGTTGGAGACTAACCCAATAGGTTTGAAACATAGTGAACAAATATCCTCAAACTCATAAACTAAAAAGTGAATTTTATCATATTTTATTAAAAAAAAAAAAGTAGCAAATATGTAAAAACGACCAAGGAAACTAAAATTTTAAAAAGATAATTATGGAACATATTTTACTATTTTTAAATAATAAGAATATAGTTATAAAACTCAATCAAATGACTCCTTAGATAATTCACACTTAAATGTTACATGGATCAAACATGTGACGTCTGCCATTGAAAGGAAAAGCACAATAAATTATTATTCTAAAAAAATATTAATACGTGGCACGTCAGCTACTTTGAATAATTTCTTTGTATAAGCTCAAGATAATAATAATAACAATATAACAAAGAGAAAATAGAAATAGTGAGGACAAATATTTCAATTTAGTGACGATTGGGCAACATTTAAGAATTTCGAAACAAACAGCCCATTTTTTAAATTATGAAGTCTTCATGGACCCTGCATTGTAAATTCCAAAAATATATATTTATATATTTTAAAAAATATATATATATTATACATTAAAATATATTTTTCTTCCCGCGAGGAGAGAAATGTTTGACTTCGCCATGAGAGTCCACAATTTCATCTTCTTCGTCTGAACTTCAACGCCTCTCTCTCTCTCTCTCTCTCATGTTCTTCAACCTTGAATCCGTCAACTCCTCCTCTCCCTTACGATTCTATTTAAGCTCTCTCTCTTGAATCCGTCCATGTCTCCATCAATTTCCCGGATTTCTCAGGTTCTTTCCCGGAAAGTTTTTGAATCCTCTAATCGGCGTCCATGGCGTGGACGTTCAGTTCCGGTGCCCAAATGTTACTGTTTCTTTCTGTTTTCCTTCTCGCCGGCGAGCTGAGGAGCGGCGAGGCCGGTTCGTTTAAGTTCAGTATCCACCATCGATTTTCGGATTCGATTAAGGGGATTCTCGATTCCGAAGGTCTGCCGGAGAAGCAGAGCCCTGGATACTATGCTACCATGGTCCACCGCGATCGGTTAGTTCACGGCCGGCGATTGGCAACCACTAACGGTGATCCGCCGCTGACGTTCGTTTATGGAAACGATACCTTCCTCATCGGCAATTTGGGATTGTATTGCTCCTATCTTAATCTTTCTCCGTTGATTTTCCTAATTTCTTCTCTCTATTTCTGCTTTTTAGTATATTAGGATTTTTTTGTGTACTGATTTTACTCTTTGTCGATTACCTTGCTTAAATTTCTGCTCTGTTTCGTTTCGTTTGGGGCTTTTCAGTTTATACTACGCCAATATATCGGTCGGAACGCCGGAGTTATCTTTTCTAGTGGCGTTGGATACCGGTAGTGATTTGTTCTGGTTACCGTGTGAATGCAGCAGTTGTCTTACTTACTTGAACACGACCAATGGTGGAAAGGTACTTCCGCTTTCTGATTAATTTCTTCCCTCGTCAAAATTTTCCGATGCAAAATCTTGAAGTTGATTCTCTGAAATTAAATACCTGATTTTTTTTTTTTTATCTTTCAATAGTTTGGGTTGAATCATTACAGTCCAAAGGATTCAACAACGAGCACAAGTGTCCCTTGCAGCAATTCTTTGTGTGAACTTGCAAACCAATGCTCTTCAACCACAAGTACTTGTCCTTACGAAATTAATTACCTGTCTGCCAATACCTCATCCTCTGGGTACTTGGTACAGGACGTATTGCACTTGGCCACCGATGATAAACAATTAAAACCCGTTGATGCTAAGATTACTTTTGGGTGAGTTCTGCAGCATCTCTCTGTATCAAATTCCTCTGAATTATATCTTCTTGTGCTGAGTTTCTTTCTGTTCTTAATAGATTCCTTTTCTTTGATGGTAACTTCATGGGAATTTAATGGTTTTTTAGGACTTCTGTAATGAAATTGGATGTTAACAATCTCATCCTATAGAAAGCATCTGTAATCCGTTTTTGTTGTTGCTGCTGCTTAAATATGATTCTTTATGGCAGGTGCGGTAAGATCCAGACTGGTATATTTGCAGATAGTGCAGCTCCCAATGGTCTTATTGGACTTGGAATGGAAAAGATATCGGTTCCAAGCTTCTTAGCGAGCCAAGGGCTCACTTCAGATTCATTCTCCATGTGTTTTGGATACGATGGTCAGGGGAGGATCGATTTTGGAGACATAGGCACGTCAGGCCAGAGAGAAACACCCTTCAATACCATGGTGAACTTGTAAGAACTTTTCACTTGTAAATATATTCAAATGCGCAAAATGTGAAATATCTGGCTTTCAATTCTCTTGGAGAAGCTGGTTTTTCTAACTGCATTGTGTTGTTCATGTTGGCAGTCCATCCTACAATGTCACCTTCACTCAGATAATTGTGGGAGGAAAATCCAACAATCTTCAATTTTCTGCAATTTTCGACTCTGGTACCTCGTTTTCATACATAACCGACCCAGTTTACTCTCTTATTGCCGAGCAAGTAAGCTACATCTGCAGTTTGAGTTCTTGGGAAGTTCCATCTAATTCCATGGAACCTCTGGTTTTTATATGGAATTTTTGTGCAGATGGATGCAGGGATGAAATTAGAGCGCGTTAAATTTGATCCTGATTTCCCATTTGAGTACTGCTACCAACTTCCGTAAGTAGCTGATAATATATCTGATAAAATCATTTTTCTTTTTCTAGTTCCAAAAAGATTTCCAGATTTTGATTTCGGTTTCTGTGCAGTCCAAATGCAAACAGTTTTTCTCATCCGAGACTGAACTTCACGATGAAGGGTGGAGATAACTATGGCACCTTGGATCCATTTGTTGTTGTTCCTACTGATGTGGGTATTTTAGAGCGAGAGCTCTACTTTCATGGCTTTCTATCACTTGCTTCTGCACTCTTTTGAATTTTTGTTGAACTGGGTTTTCGTGGGCTTCAGAATTCGGGAGGATTGGCTGCTTGTTTAGGCATTGTCAAAAGCACTGATCCAATTGATTTAATTGGACGTGAGTTCTCCTGTCTCTGCTTCTAATTTACCAAGCTTTCAAATGTTGTTGATCTTGGAAGAAGATTGTGAACTCAGGGCTTATTTATGTTTTGTTTTGTTGCAGAAAACTTCATGACTGGTTATCGCATAATCTTCAATCGTGAAAAGATGGTGTTGGGCTGGACGGAATCAGACTGTGAGTGAATTTCTTGTCCTAAAACATGAAACTCCTCTTCGTTCTTCTTTGCAGTCTCAGTGACGCTGTTTTCTTAAATCCAGGCTACGACAATGGCGCCGCCACTCCTTCCGACAACTCTCCTCCGGCCGACAACTCTCCGCCGTCCGACTCCCCTCCAACCGACAGCTCTCCTCCGACCGACAGTTCCCCTCCATCCGACTCTCCTCAGTCCGGCGACTCTCCCCCGTCCGGTGACTCTCCTCCGGCTCCTTCTACCGCAGGAGGAAGCAACGGTACTCAACCATTGCCGAGAATTGGAGCGGGTGATGCCACGCGGTTGAACCCACTTGGCTGTGTATTTGTTGCCATTCTAGCAATTTTGGTGGTTGTTTGACTTTGATTATTATTAATCTCTGGGTTTTTTCATATTTGCAGTGTATTTAATTTTTATTCTTGAAATAATTATTCTAGAAGGAAACAGTTTTATTGTTTTTCTCTGCTTTGGGTTTTGTAAATCAATGTTATTCTAATCAATTACATATTGGTTCAATTTCAATCAAAGTTCACAAAAATTACTGGATATATTTTCTGCTGTTTATTTGCCCTTTTATTAGGCAGCTTGTAAAGATATTTTGAAGATTATTGTATGTATATATTTTGAGAAGATTCATTACAAAAGGGGTAGGACCCATCTGAAATAAATTACAAAAGAACCTTTCTTTTGGACAACGAGAGATAAAAGATCGAAAAGAACCTTTCTTTTGAACAGTGAGAGATGAAACATCGAAATTATAGAAGTATATAATTTACACCAAAAAAATAAAAAATCTTCTAAAGAAGCTTTCATAGCCTCTCTCTGTGTCATAAAAATGTGGTGATTTTCCGCTATCCTAGTCCAAAGAAAAGCTGCGATGATGTTGATCTACAAAATCTTCTCTTTCTTAAAGGGTGACCAACCAAAAATGGATAGAATGTGTCCAGTGAAATTAGCATGTGTGCAAGACATAAATAAATGTCATGGATATACTAAGCTTTCTTTCTTAAAAAGAGCATCAACGAGAACCAACTGAACATAGTTGAATTAGTTAAATTACATCTCTTACTAAAAAATTGTGAATTTAAATTTTTCCTTACCAAAATATCGTAAGTTCGAATTTCAACCAACCATGTTGTATTAAAAAAGTCCACAAAAAAATGCATAACATGAGGCTACATGAGGCTCTCGCTACTGTGCATTGCCAACTGACCTTTTCTTGGCATTTTTCTTTCCAAATTTCTTTGGAACTGTGAGAAATTCATATTTTGAGGATTATGAAGCCATGATAGTGCTCAAAATTATTTCTACATATCATACCCGTCTTTCCTTTAACGACTGTGTTTTCCTTTTGGCTAAATATAGAATGTATATGCCTTTTTTTTTCAATTTCATCCGTGATATTTCAAAAAAAAAAAAAAATTTAACTTTTATATATCATTGTTCTTCAATTAAGAATAATTTTAAGAATTTCCTGACTGTTCCCCAAAATGAGTAAAAGAGGGGTAAATAAAAAGAAAAAGAGAGCCAAGATGTCAACATTATTGCCTACATGCTGCAGACGGCCATGGAACTATACTAAAAAATGAAAAACAAATTACAAGTCAAAATTGTTAAACAAACAAATGACACAATTGTTGTGTATAATATCCCACACCCCCAAGCTTTCTTCATCCTAACAAACCTGAATGCAGAACATGAGGTTAAGGGGCTTCAATCCGCCATGTCTTTCATTTTTCTATGCTTCTTCTTCTTGATCGATTTGTTCATCGTTGGCAGTTGTGGTTCCTCGGTTACTCGTAACCGCTCTTTTCCATCTTTCTTTGGCATCTTACCACCACCAGATTGCAACTGAAGCTGCTTTGATTTCATTTTAATTGATTTAACTAGCGACGAAAGCTCATACTTCTCCTTCTTCGAGGAAGCTCCCTCGCCGTTGTTTGCCTCATCTTCCCTGGACGCCTCTGGCTGTTTCATAGGAGACTTCCTGTGTTGGCCTTTCATTAACTGATCTTCGTCACCCTTTTGCTGCTTCAATGCTAATTGACGAACATAAGCAGCACTCCTGCAAACAAGAGACTTGTAACTCAGAACCGAGCAAACTAAAATGTTCCCAAGAACAGAAAAACTCCGGCAGATCTTTAATGGATATGCCACATTCACCTGCTCAGTTCATATGAGATGCGACAATGATATTTAATAGTTCTAATATGATGCTTTCTAATTTGAGATACCTTTTGAATTGAGGGTCTGTGGGATCTAAAGAGAAGAGGGCCGAATTGAAGAGAGCTGAAAACCGCGGATCATCGTAATCAACCATGGGTATTTTGTCTTCAGCAAGATCTTTCTTCCCCTTCTTCTTCTTATGTTTCAAATTGTATCCTTTGACACCAGTCTCAACACCCTGATCATCAGCAAGTAACAGCTCGAGCTCTGCTCTGCTTGCTTCCGCTTCCTCATCCTTACCGGCATGTTTCCTGTTCCTAATACTTTTAGTTTGATCGTTCTTGCCTTTTTTAACTGGAGGCTCTTCGACGAAAAAGTCATCCGCTTCTTCAACGACCTCTCTATCAGTGTCACTGCTTTCATCATCTGATGAGTGTGTGGATTTATTTTTTGCTGCCACCTTTTTCTCGCGTCTTTTCCGAAGATAAGCCTCCCACACTGTCTCTGATTTCTTATCTTTCTTTTCCAGGATGCGCTTGCTTATATCCTCTAGGCCAGTATTGAAAGTCACCTCCATATCCTGGCCACCATCCTCCTCATCATCTTCATCAGATTGAAGCAAGGCACGGTACTTATCTCCTTTCTTACTCTTTTTGTCTGTTTGATCTTCCACTCCATCATCGCTTTCATCGTCGCTTTCATCAGATGCCAGGAATTCCTTGAGCTCCAAATCAGCCAGCTACAAGGAAAAATACAGTCAGTGGAGGAGGCTGAGCCTTAGGATTATCACTCTTCATGTCAAACTCCATATTTCCTAGTCTCTCAGCAGGCATGGCCGATTGAACGTAAAATGCATAACAAATTTAATACGAAGTTATAAATCAAAATTGAAGCAAACAATAGTTGACAGGTTTGGGATTCAGAAATATTAAGCCTTTTTCCTGCTGTACAGCGTACACAAGTTTGACAAGAAGTATGACATAGAACTTAAATATATCAACCATGTTGTGCAACAAAAACTAACAAGACATAAGATGACAATGCATACAAGGCACAAGTCTAACTAATGAAGCCAATATACTACCACAAACTGTTGGCTAGCAAAAGGGTACAGAAATTTCATCTGAAATTTCACAAGAAACGTTGTGAAGTGATTTTGAGATATTGGCCCAAAATCATCGAATCATGATCACAAACCTGATCTTCATTGAATTTTCGTTTCAAGGCCTTCACTCTCTGGGGTTCATCCTCATCCCAAGAAAGATGGATCTTACTATGCTGCAGGGCTGGAGTATGGAAATTCAAAACCTCATAATTTGAAGGTGCCTGAGAGTCAAATAATGAAGGCATATTAGTTTTCTTCCTATTATCTTTCCCAAACCATATTGTAAACACACCAGGAAAAAGTTTAAGCCAACAACAACAAAAATCTCATAGAAAATAAGAGAAGATAAATTATTAAGTTTAGAATACTATAGCAATTTTTATATCCTTAAATTTAATACTGCAAAAAGTAACCATGCCACTAGTAGTGAATGTCAGGAAGGATGAAGGACAAGTAGATCAATATACAAACCTCTGTAGCAATGTCCCTTGGAGGGTGTTTAAATTCCATCGAGTCTGGAATAAACCTCAAATCAAGCACATTTGATGATCTTTCAAATTCCACTCCATCACATGTTTTGTAAAGGTAATCAGCAGTTGCAATAGAATCACATTCCACCACAGCATAATAGTATCTGTACACAGATGGCACAAATTACTATGATTAAAGAAGAGAGATTCATTGCATACAGGATATTTAAAAACTAATTACAGCATGCATTTTAGTCTAGTCAAGACTAGACTAAACCTGATGGTGAAATCCGGGAAACAAACAGTTTTTATTACATGTGCGATACACTTCCGAATACTAATAGCCAATACATTTCCAAAGTAACTATTAGGCATTGACAAAATATCTGGGAGAGACTAAGGGATTACATCAAGTTAAGATTTTCTGTCTATGGAACATACTTTCATGCTTTCTACCATTTCTTCATAAGAGAGAACTAAACAAATTGATTAATCTCCACATAGCATTACACACCGTACATCTTATATAAAATATAAAAACCACATCTTCAATAGTAAATATAAATTCAAAAAAGGGATTTACAACAGGAATATAAACAGTAGCATCAAATAAAAGACCTCAGCCTACTCATTTCATAAGCTCGCAATTTCTCATCGTCAATCTCTTCATCATCATCATCATCCTCATCATTTTTCTTTTGCTCATCATCAAACAGTCCGATTGGACCATGCAATTCTTCCTCATTCATACGTTGAAGCCCAAACTCAGATGGATAGACTGCCACAGACAATATTTGCCCACCTTTTGGTAGAAATGAACTTAGTACGACATACAAATCAACAGCCTACATAACATGATATAACCAAGTCAAATGCAGATAAAGGGGCAGGCATAGAATATCAATATCACAACTCTGCAAAAGTATCTGCAAACAAATACGAGAGAGATAGAAAGTTCATGTTTGAAAGAAGTGCTGTGAAAAAATATCAAAATCTAATTGGCTACAATATCAACTTACAAACGAGCAACAATAGAACAGAAGTGGATTTAGAAAATTAAAATGTTTGCAAAGGAGCAGCAAAAAGGACTTCATCTGTTTAAGCAAAACAATACATACTTCACTAGTCCTTCCAATTAATCTACAAAGTGAACCAAATCCATGTACTCTATCACCTTGACTACAATAACATTTTCGTTCAGTGGATAGCACATTAAGAACAGCCTAATAAAAAAATATCGAACATATTAACTTTAGAAATGGAGACAATATTCAGTTACAGAATTTTGTATCAATTCCTTGAACATTAGTAAGACTTGAACCTAAAATATTTTATGTACTCATAAAAAATAGAAAGGCAGAAAGAACTAACTTTCGATAACAAAATTCTAGTTGGAGTGAAACTTAGTTTAGATGAATAATTGATGGGATAAGCCAAGAAGGCTCTTGGTCCACTTTTTAAGGATTGCCATGATCCACCACCATAAGGTTACATCCCTAGGAGCTATATTCATTCGAAATAACAATTCATCAACAACATACCTTCACGTGCCTCCAATCCAAGTTAACAACTGCAAGCCTGTGAGTTTCCTTGTCAATTTCTGGAATATTTTCCACCTGTCAAAACATGAATCTGTTGAGATAACTTCGAACATTGCAGTCAAATTTACATTAAGTAATAATGGACCACTGAATGCCAACGATGTAAGAATTAAGTAACCCAGTATTTTGAGAGTACCAATTTCCAAATAATCTAAGTAACGAGTTCGTCGTCCGTACTCTGTAGATAAAGCAATAGATTGGCACTAAAAAAACCGACATAGGAAAACGGTAAAGTTATGAATTTTACGATTCTCCCCTCTTTTTTCTTCAAGATCAACTCTGCCAAAAGACATAAATAAAAAGATACAACCATTGTATGTTTAAAAAATTTAAAAATGTTCAAAATGTACCGGCAATTCAGGTGTTTCATCGTCGTAAATCTCTTCAAGATCACCTTCATCCGTATCAGTAGTATAGTCGGATTCTCCCGACTCCGCATCATCATCCTTCGACTCTGACTCCTCGAACTCACTGCTTGAATCAGGTTTCTCTAAACTCTGATTCTTTTTCTCTACCTCAACATTGTCACCAATAGTGTCACTCTCATCCTCGTCCTCCTCTACCTCCACATCTTCCTCGCTGTCATCTTCATTCTTCTCACTTTTTTCTTCAATTTTATAATAATGACGTAACGAATTCTCCGAGTTCTGCTTCTTTGGCCTGCCACGCTTGTCCAATGGAGCCGAAGACGAAGAGAACCTCTTATCTACGAACATTCGGTCGAATCGCGAGTCAATCGCAACCTTTGATTTATGCTTGGGAACATTCTGAAACCGAGGATCAGAGTGCACAGACGAGAACCGAGCGTCAGTAATAATCTTCTTCTTGTCCCGATCGCCAGTTTGCTCCGAGGTCGAAGACGGATCATTTCTCTCATCCTTATTCTTACTCTTCTTGTTCTTCTTCTTTGAACTATCAAAGTTTTTGGAGCCCATGACGGCGGCCACCGGCTCTACGTTGAAACCGGTCGGCGAAAAGCGGTACTAGGGCAGCGCAGATGGTGGAACGCAGTGATAATGGTCGACGACGGGGTTTAGGCTTCTAGGGCTTATCTTTGTACCCTGTGTTTGGACATAGGAATATAGTAACCCTCAGATGATCAAGATTACCATTCACCAAATATAAGGCATTACATTTTTTTTTTTGAAGATATACAAGTAAATGTGAAAATAAAGGAAATAATAATGATTTTCTTTATTTAGAGCGTACGACTTGTTAAATCTTTACCATAAATTTTTGCTGAAAATTTTTCCTATTGAATTTTTTTCTTTTAAAGAGTCTGCACCTTTTTAAAGTTGTATTTGTTTGTCCAAAAAAATACTCCTTTTTACTTATTTTTTATTTTATTTTTAGCCATGACATTATACATTTCATTATTTGAATCCTCTTTTTACATTTATAACGTTATATTCAAAAGACAAAAAAACCACTTGATCGCCCTGTCCAAAATGAATTCATGATTAGAAAAACAATCCATTATGTTTTGTTTATTAGTCGCTTCTTTTGACGTATAGTTAAGAAATTTGGTTTAATTTAGTCTATTTTAATTTGGTCCATATAGTTTTAAAAGTTTCAATCTAGTCCCTATTTCTTTTTATTTCACAAATCATCTCTGTTACATTAAATCCAACTATTTCCTCTTTTTGTTTTCTTTTTCAACACTAAATCCTATTACAAATGCATACGACTTGTGGTATTTTCTTTTTGGGCCATGAATTGATGGCATACGCTTTTTACTTTTATCAAAAGAATTTGTTAAGAAGATATTTCAAACTTAGAATTATTACACCGAAAATTAGAAATATTTTTTTTAATTAATTACCAGGCAGGTGCATGATATGACTATAACTAATGCCTTAAGCTTAAATTGCAAGCTATAAACAAATTGGAAAGCTCTATCCCAACTACCTATTTTCAAAGAGATTCCTCCCTAAATTGATTGGACATATTTAATTTTAATTTAACGTGTTATAATTTGATGAATTAGATCCATGCAAATGCAAATAATTCCAACACACTTTATAAATAAATTAAAAAATAGGGGTGTAATTGGTTAAAATGTTGTTGTCATATTTTTTCTTTTTCTTTCCTTTTTCAACCTTTGAAATATTCATATTTAAAATAGCATTTGATCAAAGATTAAAGTTATCTTCAATGATTAACCGGCTTGTTTCATCATTTTACATAGAATAATATGTGCCTTTGATATCTCCATAATTGTTGTACTAAAGGAAAAAAAAAAGAGAGTATATTTTGACAGTAAACCTACATAAATTTACTCTTGAGACTCTATATTTACAAATAAAATGTTAATTATCTTTTTTTTTCCTCCGAGTTAACAACAAAAATAAAATAGGAGTTTACATTAAGCCCACAATTTGCTAATCTAGCTCTGTTATTATAAAACAAAACTCAAGATAACTAAATTCTTCCCTCAATCTCTCTTGTAAACAGAACTCAAACTTTCTCATAAATCTGTCAAGTATTTTTACTTGGGATCTTCAAAATGAGATTATTTTCACATCCCACTAACAAAGAATTGTAACAAACGTTTGTTATAAAGTAAAATTCATTAGCATACCTTTAGCCTAATATAAGTCATCTCAATCTTTACCCTATTATAATTGAAATAAAGTTCACGGGACAATGTAGCATACCTTTTACTTTATAAAATGAAGAAAGCCCCGTCTCTTTGTAATTTGTATTACCTTTTGAAGAAAAGAAAACTCATTAGCTTTGTAAAAGAGTGAAGGCCGTAGGCCGTGTTTGTTAAAGTGCACCGAAGTATTTGAGATTAACAAAGAAGCCAAAAACTACAACAAGAGGAAGGTTAAATCTTTTTGGGTGTTGAGATCTTTTATCCAAAGCAAGCATAATTATTACCAAAATTTTGCATGATTTTGTCCCACGCCCAAGTCCAAAAGCTGAAGGTTCAAAGAGCAACAGCAGCCAGTGTCGTGCATGTTGTTGGATTAGGAATTGGGATTGCTTCAAAATCACTTCTCCATTATTTGCACTGATGTTCAAAGTTTGGGGGCCGCTATCATGTCACAGCTTTGTTTTGTAACTCTTCTAGCACCTTGCATTTCCCTATAAATAACCCATATTCTTCACTTTAGGATCCCAAGGACTTGTTTTGTTTAATAAAAGAGAGAGTTTAGCATTTGTACCTATATTTGTAGGGGTAATGGGCTTCCTTCCTGTGGTTGCGGTTCTTTTGCTGTCTGTTTTGTCTTTGGGGAGCTCGCTGAGCTTAGACTACTACGAGAAGACATGTCCTGGGGTTGACTTTATCGTGACTAAAGCTGTCAAGGATGCAGCTTACAAAGACAAGACTGTCCCTGCTGCACTCCTCCGGATGCACTTTCATGACTGCTTTATAAGGGTATCCGTTAGAATAATTCTCAACATGTTGAATAATATCTCTGTTTTTGACAAAACTAAACTGGATGTGTTTTGTTTTGCTTGGGTGAAGGGTTGTGATGCATCTGTACTGCTGAACTCAGTAGGGAACAACAAAGCAGAGAAAGATGGGCCACCAAACTTATCTTTGCATTCATTTTTCGTGATCGACAACGCAAAGAAAGAACTGGAATCCTATTGCCCCGGCGTTGTCTCCTGTGCTGATATCTTGGCTCTGGCTGCAAGGGATGCAGTTGTGCTTGTAATAAATCATATAATTCAAATAATCTTTTGCCTTGGAACACAATGGTTTGAAATTAGGAAGTTCTAAACATTTTATTTTTTCTAAAAGGATATGATTTTGTGTTTGTCTTACAGTCTGGAGGCCCAACATGGTATGTTCCTAAAGGGAGAAAGGATGGAAGGATATCAAAGGCTAGTGAAACAATACAATTGCCATCTCCAAGCTTCAACATTTCTCAGCTGCAACAGAGCTTCTCCCAAAGAGGTTTATCCCTTGACGACCTAGTCGCTCTTTCAGGTAAACCTCATACACATTCAAACTCAGGATGAAAATGTCACTACTAAACATACATCAACAGTATAACAGTGTTGATGAACATACGATACCAAGATAATACAAGATTAAGAAAGAAAATGAATGTCAATCTATTAAAGATATTCTTGTAAGCATTAGCATTCTCAATAACATATGATGCAGGAGGACACACCTTAGGATTTGCTCACTGCTCATCCTTCGAAGGTAGAATCCGCAACTTCAGTCCAGCCAGCAACGTTGACCCTGTAATGAATCCGTCCTTCGCAGCAAGCCTAAGAAATGTGTGCCCAGTAATCCACAAGGCGAAAAATGCTGGCTCAAACATGGATACATCTCCAACCACATTCGACAACACTTACTACAGACTGATACTCCAAAAGAAGGGCCTGTTTTCTTCTGACCAAGCTCTGCTCGACTTTCCCAAGACCAAAGATCTTGTTTATAAGTTCGCTAGCTCAAAGGAAGCCTTCAACAGAGCATTTGTTAATTCTATGATCAAAATGAGTAGCATCACTGGTGGTCAGGAAATCAGGAAGAATTGTAGGGCAGTGAACTAAAAGCTGCTACTTATAGCTCTATTTTGCTTGCTAGACTAATAATCGTCTATTTAAGCATTGGGTGTTTAAGTACCCACAGCTAGCTTGTTTTCAGTACCGTCAGAAGCACAGTACACATGTATTCTTATATTTGATCACCAATGGGATGCCTTTATTTTTGCCTTTATTCTCAAATGTCTCCAATTAGAGATAAAGTTCCCTTTACTATGATGTGTCGACCATCTACATCCATTCACCACGTCTATTTTTGGATTCACCAATTCATTCCCAACTGAACTTCATGGACAAGAATGTAACAGGATTTCATATTTAAGCTACTTCCTTTAAAGCTCAATCACCTGCAAGCCATAAAAACTTGTGCAGGAAACTCCAACATGCATGAAAATTCGAATCAGGATGGTCATTATGAATGTACAAAGGCAAATGAAGAGTGAAATATGAAGCAACAGATAGGCATACAGTCATCCAACTCCCACCATTTTGGGAGTGGGGGGATGATTTATAGGTAATGAAATATGAAACTTAAAAATACATCTCAAGGGACAAGCGGATCTTTCTCTTTCAACCTATGAAGTTAATAAATTATAATCTGAGGTAACTAAATATAAGTATTAAACATAGATTTGGCAGCAACAGTAACAACCAAACCACTTGGTTCAGCTCCCCTCCCCCTTTCCCCGGCAGATTTGTCGGCAGATGTAGAAAGTAACGGACGTTGGGTGAATGATGAGTCACAGCGTTTTTTATTTCAGCTAACACCTGCCGGCAATTTCGCTCGCCACTGCCTCTGGGGACGGTGAGAAATATTGTCCAACTTTACATTATGGACCCACAATTATGCAAAGAGAAATGTTGTCCAACTTTACATTCTGGACCCACAATTATCCAAAGGGATAACTGAGGTAAGGCGGTGAAAAGTTAGCTATTGGACATCATCAAAATGAAGAAACAAAATAGTTAGCTAATTGATGGTTTGTGATTTACAATAGCTCCTGTTAATATATGTAATTTACCACCGCAAAATCACGTATAGCATTCAATACATGTTAACGCTTATACATAACTAAAGTTTCAACTTGCACAAATGCACTGGTTTTTACCGCAGCTATCTCCAAAATTTCTTACCATCTACCATTGAACTTTAATGAGAAGATCACGTAAGTGGAAAGACTAATAAACTTAACAACTCTTACTTCAGAAAAAATAAAAACTTAACTCCACCAAGCTTTAAAGAATTATTGAATGCGACTGTCCTTCGAAACCTATATGACTTAATAACAACTCTCATACATCCACGATGTAAAATTACCGCCACATTGTTTCGCCTCCTTCGATATTTCTCACGAACTTTGTTATTTCACCATAGAAGTCTCCTGTTGCAAGTGGAATAACTTTATAAATCATGGTCGCCAAACTGCCAAAAACTTCCACAAATTAATATATGCATTTTGTATTACCTTGACTGGTTCGCAATTAAGAACAATCTCAGCCAATTGAATGTTGCCACTCAGGTTTGATGCCTTATGCGATGGCATGAATGCAAAGCCATCAAGAAGCTTCTCACACTTCAACCCCCATTTGACCATCAAGAACTCAATGAGATGATGCCCACTACACAATTTGGAGGGCAGTGAATTGGTAAAGGTGAAAAATAATGACAGCAATAATAATTACTATCATAACATAACCACCGTGGCTGTGTCAATTTCCATCATGTAAGAAATAATATCAGTTACCTGCGATTGTGGTAGGTTGTTATAAAGACTGACCCTGGTGAACTTTGGAGAAGAAAGGCCACGGTAGAAAAGAGATCATCAAATGCTTCCCGACAACAAATCAAACTCAAATTTCAGCACATTTTTTTTTTTCCATAAACAAATTAAAGATGGCAGAGTAGAGATGAAATTAGATCAGAAATTGGTCCTACGGTCCTACCACTGTTTTCGTACAAAACATCAGCCCCAATAATGATTGTAGGTCGTAAACTGAATATTGATATGTCCCAGACCCCCCATGTCAGTCCTAGAACCTGCACATATAAGAAACTCGTCACTGTGCCAGATAGAAAACCATTCTTTCAGAAGAAAAAGAGAAAAAAAAAACAAAAAAAACAACTTACAACAACAAGAAAATTTATAGATTTACATTGCAATTGAGATTATTCAGGTCACAAACTCTCCTGATATTTTCCAGCACCTGCAGATTGAAGATTCGGACATTAGAAAGCAAATATGCCGCTCAAACATCTATCTATCTGTCCGCTCTTAACATAACTATCTAAATGAATTTGGTTTCTAAACAAAATCTGGCTCCTCGTAATACGAGAAACTCCCTTGCTTTTTGACGTATTTATAATTCATAACTCAAACAAAAAACAGAGCTAACATGAAGTTCATATAAATTGGTTAATAGAAATTTTTGTGCATTAAGTGGAAATTATATTTTCAGGCGAAGTCACCAAGACGAAGCAATACCTCCACTCTATTAGCATCATCAGTCAACGTGACATCAGCGCCCAATTTTGCCGCAACCAATCCAGGCAATGAAGTACCAGCACCGAGCTGCAACCAATTCGGAGGTCACAGAGTCACCCTAGCCATTAAACTTCCCCGTTATAAAATAATCAAACATATCACTCTAAATCTACTGATTATAGGTTTTCAGGAGACTTCACTGGAAAGAAAATGATAATACACAAGTACCTCAACGACATTTGCACCAGCAAATCGAGTTTTCTGCTGCCAAACATACTCGGCAAGAACAATACTACAGGGCCACACATAAAGGCCGTATTCCTCTTCCGTATTCTGCAGAGTCGTCGAAATTACACACACAGATTGTTAAGGACTCAAAGTTTCTCCGTCTACCGGAATTTTGAAGGAGACAAAAAAAGGAATGAGAGGTGGATTTTGGACACCTCGATTATTGAAACAGAGAAGACCGTTTTTCCGGCGTCGTCTTCGAAAGCGTGACGAGATGTGGTTGTTGAGGAGCCACCGACCGGCGCGTCGGAGTCACCGTCTTCCATATTGCTCGCCGGAGCAGACGGAATCTGCTTCCCACCCGCCGGGGTATAATGAAGTAGAACTAATGGGCCGTCTAATGTGGACTTGCTTTTGGAGCCTTGAGATGGCCCACGATTAATCTCTGATTCACTGGATTAAGGTAATTCATTTAAGAGTGGTGTGACTGTCTTATAAATTTATAATGTTTTTTTTTTATTTTGCTTATTTTATTAGAGTTTGACATAGATATATGATAGTTTCGACTTAATTTCTAAATATATTTTAATTCTTAAATTTTGTTCGGACCACTGTGGTAAGTCTAATTCATTTTCAAATTTATACTTATAAGCACTCGTGGAATTACAGGACATTCCATACATAGCAACCAAGTCTTGAGAATGAGACGTCGGCAAAAGGACCTCAATATCATTATGATTAAAATTTATTTTAATTAACCAGAGTAACTAACTAAATTTTTTTTGTTCAACTAGGTTGAAGATTCAAACTTCCAACTTTTTTTATAAACTTATGAGTATTTTGCCTGGCTAATTAAAATTTAATTTCGTTGGCAATTTTATGACCTAAGATTAGATATACGATATAAAGCACATAACAACACCTTTCCAAAAAATCTCTTACATATACCAAAAAAAAAAAATCTTAACATAACATATATAATTTATGTTTTTTATTTTTGGAAAAAGAAAATAAAAAATGGAATTGGGCCTAAGGCCCAACATGCGGACGATAGGAGGGGAGGGCATTTCCGTAATGTTGCAGGGAAACAATAAACCAGGGAAGGGCAAGGGCAAGGTATCCCCAACCCCAAGAGTTTTCATCAAGTGGGAAGCAACCAAAAACCAAAAGGAGAGAGAGAGAGAGAAGCGTTTCCAGAGAGAGAATTCTGGTTCTGAGCCCTCTCCCTACTCTCTAACACAGACCCTTCTTCTCTCTCTTTCTCTTTCTGCGATCTGATCGCTGAAATTTTTGGAAACCCTTCACATTTAGGACTCCATTTCTTTGTTTCTTCATTTCCGCTATTAACTGGGGGAACTTTTTTTGATCGATTCTGTACATTTTCCCCCCCTTTTTTCGCTCGTCGATTAACCTTGTCGACTTACGTGCCGGGAAAACCCTAACTCGCTGTTCTTTTCTTTTTCTTTTTTACCCTTTTTTTCTTCTTCTTCTGTTCTTATGGCTGCTGCTAATCTTTCTGATAGCAATCCTCCAACGGCCGGAAGCGCCCACCATTCTCGTAACTCCGGGCAAAGTGTGGGCAGCCCCAAATCACGTCGCTCCACACGCTCAGTGTCCTCACCCTGGACCCAGATTGTCCGTGGTGAGTTGGAAATCAATGCGGTCGTTCCCTCCTCACCGTCGAATTTGACATCGCCGACCGCTGTTGTGGAACCGGTCCCTTCGTCGTCTTCTTCATCATCATCATCCTCCCCTTCAGTTGCGGAAGAACCGGTCGGAGAGAGATCAGAGAGTGGGAGTGGATCGCAAGCCAATGTAGGAAATAAGCCCGCGTGGAACAAGCTGTCTAATGGGGCTGCTGCCGAGGTCGGGCCAGTCATGGGGGCTGTATCCTGGCCCGCCCTATCCGAGTCTACTCGGTTCGCAACCAAATCGTCTTTGGAATCGCCGAAAGCTGTAGCTGATGGATCTGCTGGCTCTGCATGCCAGGTTCTGACCTTTCATTTTGTTAATCTACTGAAAATTAAAATATTCAGTTGCTCGAACTGGGTCTTCACACTTTGAAAATTTTTTAACTGCCTCAGACCATATATTATTTATCTCGGTGATCATCTATAACTCTCTCTCGCCTTTTTTTTTTAATTTGGAACCCAATGCTTTATTTTGAATGATCTATTTGAGTATCTTGATTCTTGGCTATGACGACAAAGATAACATGTACTGGCATGGGTTTGGGACGAAACAGCACTTTTCATATCAATCAAAGACTGGGGAAAGACTAGAATATGTTTACTCTGAGAACAAGTTAAAAGGGTTTTAAGAAGTTAGTTTATGGAGTTTTTGGTTTGTTGATTGAAGGCAGCATCAATTAGACATGTGTAATATTATTATTATTTTTTGATAACGTAGTCGGAACTTTGATATCCTATACCCAGAGGCACCTGCACGCTCCCCAAGGCGATGCATGATATTATTTATAGATCTAAATGATGTTAACTCTTCCACCTTCTTAATTCTTTGCAATGGGATTCTTCATTTGATCAATTCACTAGGTTCTTATGGATAAAATGGTGGCAGGGGGCCGATGTCCCTATTAGAATGCTCAATGCTACATTGATACTCTACTGCATTTCCATGTAGAATAAGGACTTACATGGTTATTTGCTATATATATATATATATATATTTAACATTTTGCTAAATGGTTATTGTCTCAAAGTTTTTGCTCTAATGGATGTCTGATTAATTATTTCGAACCTAGGGGATAGGAAATTCACCATCCTCACCACAGAAAGAAGTTAGTAGTGCAACTCCAATTTCAACCCCAACTGCAACTCATCGCCAGAAGTCAATGAAGCACAGTGGTGCTAGCAATTCACATAATGGTGGTCCCTTGCAGCAGTCGGCAATTTCAGGTTCTGTAATTGAGACACCTCCGAGTACTCCTTCGTCTAAGGACCAGATTCAGAGGACCGCTTTTGCCTCACAGCCACATAATGATCATAATAATTATCAACATCAACGCAATTCATTCAGGAGTCGTGGCTCTGGTTATCCACGAGGTGATGGTTCTCACCATCACAATCATGGTACTAGGCGTGATCATGATCGTGGAAACCATGATTGGAATTCTCATCGAAATTATGGTCAGTCTCAAAGAGTTGTTCAAAGATATATAAGGCCTCCACCACCCCCTAGTACTGCTACATTTATTCCTCCACCAATGAGGCCTCTTGGTGGTCCCATACATTTTCCTGGTAGGATCTACACCACTGTTGTTAGCTTTGTGGTCTTTATCATGTGAACTTGCATCACATTTGGATCTTTTTGCAGAATTTGTGCCTTCAATGGTATATGTTGCAGCTCCTCCTCCTCCAGAAGCTCTCAGAGGTGTACCTTTTGTAGCTCAAATACCACCTAATGCAGTGTTTTTTCCTGCCCTAGACCCTCAGTTATGTGCTGCAATAGTCAAGCAGATAGATTACTACTTCAGGTATCATTCATGTCATATTTGGTTAATGGATTACTAAATTTTTTTTCTCATCATCGTCTAGTGTTAGAATTTCGAACAAATTTTAACAGCATCACCTTAAATTTTGTTAATTGCAGTGATGAAAACTTAATTAAAGATACTTTCTTGAGGGGGAAGATGGATGAACAAGGATGGGTTCCAATTAGTTTAATAGCAACCTTCAAGAGGGTGGGTTATAAAAAAATTATATTTAGTTTCTATTTTTTTATATTGCTGATGATACATTGTTTCTACCCATTTCTTATTCTTTTTATTGTATTTAACACCAATTTTATTTATTATTGAATGATAGTATGGTGCCCATTTTCCTGTTATTGGTTTCTTTGCTTCTATGCTTTTTTAGTAAAGATGTACAACTGAAAAGAAATACTCAGTTGGAATCAAGAAGTTGTTGCTATAGTTCCGCCATCATTCCTATACTTAGAAGTCAATTAGAATGTTATTCTATTTGAACAGTTTTCATGAACATGTGCCTTTGTGCTAAATCATGCAATGTAATATCTCTTTGCAGCTGGCTTCTAATATTTGTTCTTTTACGTTCCCATCATTACATGAGGCATGTTTTTATTCTTACCATATCATAGTTATCATCACCACAGTTTTGGGATATGTTGGAATTGAGGATCTTTTTTGTTTTGTTTTGTTCTTTTTTTTTTCCTGGAGGAAACAATTTTTTTTAATATATTAGAAGTACAAAATTAGTGGGACAACGACCTGTCAAGGGAGATTTACAACAAACTATCTCAGTTGGCATAAATCAAAAGAGAATCATAATTACAAAAGGAATTAGAATAGAGTACAACAAGAAACTCAAGAATTTGAGGTGGAGTCCCGAAGTTCAAATCATCTAGAAGAATTTTCAAATATTCTTCTATTGCTCTCGAAAACCAACCTTCCAAAGAACAGTCATTAAGGTAGTTAGGCACAAAGCTTTAGCTTTCCTTTTTAAGTGATGCCAACATGGGTTGCTCAATGGCTTCAAGGCTTTTTTTGCATCAGTGTGCTAGTAGGGAGTTAGGCAGCTCGTAGGGGGTATTGATGCCATCTATAACAAGGCCCCAAATAAGAAATTTATCGTTAAGACCTTTGGCCCAGAAGGACTTGGCCCCAAGTATTTAGGCAAAGCCACTTGATTCTCTAGTCTTAGTGAGATAGTTGACTAAAGGCTAAGAGGCAAGAATACCTGAACAACCCAGCGCCCGAGTCATAGAATCCCTACAATTTTTCAGCCACTTGTCATGAAGGTTCAGAGTGAGGTTGATGCATTAGTTCAATGATGCTGGTACGTGTTTCTTATTCTCCGTTTCCTAGATTTCTTTTCAGAAGTTATATATGGTGTGACATGCGTGCATATGACACTGTAGTTAGGATAGAATGTTCTCTAAATGCTCACGGCTAGTTTAGTTAAACAGTTTAGCTATACTGAGAGACAAGAAAACATGGTATGATTATTACCAAATAGCTTCTTTTGATAAGTCTTATGAAACTAATTCTGCTGGAATAGTTTGGATTTTTTGAACTGGCTGCGTCTGAAATGATGCTGCTTATCACAAAGGTGGAGAAGCTATTATGTGAATGATGATGCATGCACTCTTTTTTAGGGTTTTTATATTGTCTTTGGTTTTCTTTTGCAGGTTCTAGATTTGACTGACAACGTCCCGCTGATTTTGGATGCTTTGCGGACATCCACTCTTTTGGAAGTACAGGTTAGAACTTGTTTAGTTATTCAGTTCTGCAAGCACTACTTTCTCGTGTTTAATAGTGGCAATTGGAAATTTTGTGTTTTGGGGGGAGGGCAGTTGGGGCGGATTGGTCTTAACTTCTTTATTGAGCCCACTTCAAAAGTATTTTGGGTTTGGGTCTAAGTTTGTACAGATAAAATTGTCAAAACACGTTCTGGATAAGGGTAATTGAGCCCACAGGAGCTTTAAGAGGTTTGCATCTTCAGTTTATCAAGTTAAAGGATATTTAAAGATAAATTTTTTGGTTAAAAAATGAGTAAGTCGTTTTGTTTCTCTAATTTTATATCCGAACCTATTATATCTCAGGGGGACAGAGTAAGGAGGCGAAATGATTATAGTAGATGGATATTGCAATCTTCATCTCAAACTCCTGATGTTGCTGCCCCAGTAAGCCCAGCAAACTCCAATCCGGATATGCTGGCGGCTGGTGTTCAGAGTCTCACGTTGGAGACTATTAATCGCAGCATTTCAGGAAGTCGAGGTGATTTTCATGTCGAGGCTCTGCAAAGTAGATCACCTCGGAATTCCAATAGCCAGTCACAGCAACCAGGCACTGGTCAAGTAAGCATCGAGACAGGTTTGGACCACTCCTTTTCTGCAAGGAGTTAGACCTTGTACATGCTGAAGCCCATGTCTTTTATGAGTGGAAAAAAATTAGATGTGGGTAGTACAGAAGACTAAGGAGATAACTTATAACACTGGAGGAGGATGTTCCGAGTTTTGTTGCCTGTGGCGGCCTTCTTGATGCACGATGAATATTTTTTCTCTCGTGTGGCCAAGTAAAGAAGGCAGAATGTGATGAATAAGGAGGCAAAAAATGAAGGTGAAAAAGAGAAACAAACAAATCTAGAAAGTTTTTTTAAAAAATACCCAACATTTTCTTTTAACGGCGACTGAAAGGGGATTCATCATTTTATGGTTTCATAGGATGTTGCCTTTGCTAGTTAAAATTTTCCTTTTTGTTCTCCTTGGTGATGGCATGTATTTAACCATGGGGAATCTTTGCTTCCCCATGATGCTGCTCCTCAGCTGGTTTTTCCTTTTGGTATCTTCGAGCTCGGGGCAGATAACCTCGAGCTGTAGGAAGAAGACAAAACGGTTCTGATAAAAAGGCGAAAATGGTGGCTGATCTTCTTCATGGTTAATATAGAGAGACTGGCTTTCTTTGGATGCTAATGGCGGCCGAGCTTCAACCGCAGCTACTCCATCTTGAAGACTCTTTCTTTTGCTTTCCTTTTCCTTATCCCCCCTTTTCTTTTCATGAAGACTTGTCGCTTGCTCTTAAAATGTCAAATGGAATAACTTTGCATACGGTACTTGCAACTTTTTTTTTTTTTTTTGGATATTTGACTGAATAAAATGCCCCTGTGGGTGCAGGTTGGCGGTTGGCGCATCTTGTTATTAACTTTATTTTCAAATTGTCATTCTTTTAGCCAACCTTTTATGTTTTGGATCATCATTGTGTTTGAAGTGTTTTTAAAAGCAAAGGATTTTTGAGTTCAACACGTTTGGGAGGTTATATGTTTTAACTAGTCAAATTATTCTAGATTGACACTTGAAGTAACATTTTATTTATAAATAGTTTATTTTACGGTGAATCTGGAGTGGTATTTGAAACTTTTTTAAAGGCTTTGTTATCTAATTAGAGACAATTTCTCTTTTAAATTCTTAGTGATCTTTGCCTTTTATGTCGAAAAAGTTTATTAAGTGCTTCATTTGAACTTAAATATTAACTTTTAAAACCTATTCTGAATTTAAAAAGTAGTGTTCTTATTTTAAAAATTTATGAAGATGACCATATATGTGCTAGAATTCTTTTGAAGTGTGCTGAAAATTTAATGAAAATAATTGTAGTGGGACAAATTAGTGAAACAAAATTTAGATCAAGATTTTAAAATATTTTCACATTTTGATAAAAAAACAGTTGTTTCGATTTTCTTTTCTTAGTACAAAATTTGTTATTGATTTACGTTGCATCTATTAGAAATTTGTGGGGTATCATATAGACTTTATTCATTTTGGTCATTATACTTTTAAAACGTCTATTTTTTTACTTTTATACTATTTAAAAGTGACCCATTTAGTCCATGTTTTCATTTTCATATAATTTATTTTAATCACAATTCTAGCATGACACTTCACTTTCTAAATGAATAGAAAATTTAATAATATATATTAAATAAGAAAAAGATTCCCAGATATGGGGAATCTTCTAAGCCATTCTTTTTCTTTCCTTCTCTTTTTTCTTTGGTAGGCATAGGTTTTTTTAATATAGAAAGTATTGGATTCCCAATCTGTAACATACCTTATTTTATTCGTCATTCGTATTCAAAACTTGTTACATACCGTATTCAAAAAAAGAAATCATGTAATTTGTAGATTTATAGATTTCTTTTCGTTCAAAAAATCATTTAATGACGCTAACATAGTTCAACGACATATATCTCTATGGTTGTGAATTCGATCACTCACCCCATATTTTGTACTAAAAGTATCATTTGGTGACTGGGCTGACCTATCAATATACAAACGTCACGGACAATAATGAACCAAAGTTAAAAGTACAATAACGAAAATAAATCACGATGAAATAATTAACCATAAATTTTATTAAAAAATTATATGATTGTTAATACTCATTATAAATTTTAATTATAAGGAGGTAGATGACTGTACATACAAACTTACCAATAAATTAAAATTAATTACGTTTTAAATTCCACGCATGATGAAATAACTCGCCATAAATTCTGCAGAGATCATTTGCTAATATCTAAAAAAATGCGATTTCTATTAAGAAAAAAAGAAAACCTTTTTCTAATAACAAAAATAGAAAAGTTTGATAAAAATAGATAAACAACTGATATGTACAGTACCAGAAAATTTATTTGCGTATGGGCCGGAACCGTCCTCTGCAGCCCATTCCGCGCACGCGGGGAAGCGAGGGCATTTTGGTAATCTTATGTTACATGTAACCATAAACTAACAAGGGCATTATAGAGAGAGAAACGCTTTAGAGAGAGAAACGTTTTAGAGAGAGAAGTTGTTTCTGTTTCTGAGACCTCTTTCTACTCTCCAACAGACCTACGTCTCTCTTTTTCCACTCTGCGATCCGATCGATTCAATGTTTTAGAGAGAATTTAGGATTCTTTGTTCTTTGTTTCTTGCTAGCAGCTGTTAATTCTTCAAAAATTTTGATCGTTTTCTCATTTTTTCGTTTTCATTTTGCCCCATTTTCGGTCGATCAAGCTACTTCGACCTGAAGTAAACCCTAATCCCTAATTTATGATGGCTGCTACTAATTTATCTGATGCTAATTCGGCGACCGCGAGTGCCAATCATTCTCCTCGTCAATCTGCACAAAATATCAGCAGTCCTAAATCGCGTCGGCGCAATACCTCTTCTTCCCCGTGGACCCTGATTGTGCGCGGTGAGTTGGACTCAATCGCTGTTCCGTCGTCTCCTTCTGCTGTTGTTGAACCTGTATCCTTTTCTTCTTCTTCTCCTTTGCCTTCTGCCGTGGTTGAGCCGGTATGTGAGAGTCTGGATGGTGGCAATGGGTCGGCCAGCAACGTGGGAAAGAAGCCGGCGTGGAACAAGCTCTCTAATGGAACTGTGGCGGTCGAGTCTGGGCCTGTCATGGGGGCTGTGTCTTGGCCCGCACTATCGGATTCGGCTAAAACCCCAACTAAAACGTCTTCGGACTCTCTCAAAAGTTTAGCTGATGGATCCGCCGGGCAGGTTTTGTTCTTTCAGTTTTACATTAATGGAGCATTATGAATGTCAGTTGCTTGTAGGGGGATAAATGTTTAAACTGCTGCATTTGTATGTTGAATAAAATGCTTAAATTCGAATAAACTTTATGAGTACCTTGGATAGGCTGAGAAACATTAACCGGTGGCATATTTTTATTCCGATGCTCTTATCAAACAGGTCAGGAAAAGAACAAGAAAATGTGTACTACTGGAGTAACTACAGTCATTTCTTTATATTGGTTATATGTTGAATTAAGGGAGTCTCAATTTACAATTGGAAGGCGTTTTTGTAACTGTCCTTGTGGGCTTTTGTATATTTCATACCATAAATGAAATACTCGTTTCATATCAARAAAAGAAAGGGAGACTCAATTTATTGACTTCATGTATTTAGTCTTGCTATTATTTTGTATAATAGCGGGCGCTCTTGCACATTTCTTTTTTATTTTGTTATTGTGTAATATATTTGGTCAATTCACTAGATTTTTGTGAAGAAAAAGCTAAGGGGAGAGGATGAACTCTCTGTTGAAATTCCCCATGCAGCGTCTCTTTTCATATTTTCCTTGTTGAATAAGGATAAATATAACTTTCCCTTTTGGTAAATTTTGTACATCAATGGAATTCTCTTATGAGGAAAACAAGGACAGCAGAGATAAGAGTTAGTTTAGTTTGTTTTCTTTTTGTTACCATGAATGTAAGGGTCTTTACCCTTTTATTTTCTTTTCTTTTCGTAATGGTGTGTGTGTGTTTTTTTTTTAATTCAACAAGATAATTCTTATCTTTCTAAATGTTGCACATAGGGGGCTGGAACTCCATCGTCCTCATCAAACAAAGAAGGAAATAATGATGTTGTGAGCCCTACCTATGATTCAACTCTTACTCATCCAACGACCTCACGCCAGAAATCAATGAGGCGTAATGGGTTTGGAAATTCACATAATAGTGGCCTCCCCCAACAGTCTGCACTTTCAAGTCCGGTAATTGATACAACTCCTAATAATGCTTCCAAAGATCAGACACAGAGAACTACATTTGCATCACAATCACATAATGATCATGGTCATCAACAAGCACGCAATTCATTTAGTAGGAGCCGTGGTGGTGGTTCACATCCACGTGGCGATAATTCCCATTATCATAATCATGGTGGTAGGCGTGATCATGACCGTGGAAATCAAGACTGGAATTCTAATAGAAATTTCAATGCTCAGCCGCATAGAGTTGTCCATAGGCTTATGAGGCCTCCTCCACCCCCAAATACTGCTCCCTTTATTCCTCCTCCACCAATGAGGCCTCTTGGGGGTCCCATACCTTTCTCGGGTAGGCTCACATTTTATTTGTGAGGTTCCATGGATTTGATCTATTGAACCTGTTTATATTTGAACTGTTTGCAGATTTTGCACCTCCAATAGGCTCTACATTTTATTTGAGGTTCCATGTTTTTTATCACATGAACTTGCCTTATGCTTGAATCTGTTTGCAGATTTTGCACCTCCAATGGTATATGTTGGTCTTCCTCCTCCTCCTCCAGAAGCTCTCAGAGGTGTACCTTTTGTCACTCCAATACCACCAAATGCAATGTTTTTTCCTGCCTTAGACCCTCAGTTACCTGCTATGATAGTGAAACAGATAGATTATTATTTCAGGTATCTTTGGTGTTATAAATTTAACTTTTTGCCATCATCCTTGTATAGGTGTTAGAATTTTGATTTATTTTTTAAAATAGTGATCGCACCTTATATTTGTGAATTGCAGTGGTGAGAATTTAATAAAAGATACTTTCTTAAGGCAGAACATGAATGAACATGGATGGGTTCCCATTAGACTAATAGCAAGCTTCAAGAAGGTTGGCTGATTAGATGAATTTTTTTATTTATTTGTTGTTTATTTTATTGATATATTTCATGATAAAGTCATGATTGTCTACATTTAATTCAAAAGGAATGTATAATATTTTTTAACTGTAATGATAGGCTAATCTTGATCTTCCTGTTTGTATTCTTCCTCTCTGCATGTTTGTGCATGTTTTCCCTTGTAAGTATTTTTTGAAAGAGCTGTTTTCAGAATGATTTCTTAAAGGTCTGATTACTTTTAGAAGAACTATACACAGTTTTTATTTTTATTTTTTAATATTTTTTATTATTTTTAATGTTTTCCAAACTTTCTACCTTCTATAGCTTAGACAGTAATAAAATAAACATCTTAAACTTCTTCTTTTCTGTGAATTTACCAGTCTTTGAATGGAATCGTTCTTGGAATTGGTTTTCAAATGCTATTTTCAAGCAGGCCTTAGAGGGTTCTTTGGGTGCATTTTCTAAAAAAAATTTAAAAACATAGTTTTGCCAAGTAAAGTTCTGAAAAGTTCTATATTGTCAGTTGTAGCAGCTTCTCTCACTGAAGTTTTCTTGGCCTTCTCCTTCTGAGATTTGTTGTACGGACAATGGTTTAAGAGCTAGTTTTGCTTCTCAGTGTATTTGTTTGTAGTCTGAATGGTTCTTAGTTTTTGGGCTACTTTTGGGTTTTTTGTTAGTTTGTTTCTTCTTATTGTTCTATTTTTACTATTGTAATTCTCCGGGGCTTTCTCTTTCTTGGTTTGGTTGTTCATCTTCACTCCCTCCGGGAGTTTGCATATTGAACTTTTTCTTTCTTTTTTCACCATCAATGAAAAGTTAGTTTTATTTTTATTTAAAAAAAAGTGTCTACGATGTATCTCAAAAATGAAAAAAAAGACCCGAGGCTACTTACAGCAAACATAGAAGAAAATAGCATCATCAGTGGAAACTGAAATAGATATTAGTTCTGATTTTTGGAGATGTTAATTTATCTGTTAAAGAAATCAATCTATAGCAGCATAATTTTGCATATAGTATTGCCTCCTTTTTCTGAGTTTTGGTCTTTTATTATTATTTATATATATATATATATATATATATTTTGTCAAATAGCTGCTATTTGGATTTTCTAGATTGCTATATTGTGTAGCTTATAATGAAAGTTAGAACGAATAGTTCTGTGGACCAGAACACATGACATTGAGCTGTTATTATCCTTCAAGAATATGTCATCTCAGCACTCTTTTGCAGGTTTCATGTTTGACTGACAATATCCAACTTATATTGGATTCGTTGCAATCATCCACAGTTGTGGAAACAAAGGTTAGTAATAGATGGCTCAGACTATGACACTGATTTAGACACTAGCTCCATAACCAGCTTTTTCCTCTATGTGAAAGTGGAAGATTTTTATGGGCTCTTGGAATATTTTATTATATGGTCTAAAGTTGGGCAAAGCACACTGATAGTTAATGTAATAGTAATAGTGGTAAAAGGAATAGATAAGTCAATTTTAGGTTGACGAATTTGATCCCTATAGCTTGGATATAGTTTTAATTTAGTCAATCCTCACAAATCATTCTTGTCGTTATCATATAAAATATGTGACACATCTTGTAATTCACACAGCAATGAGCTAATCTCTCTCTTTTTTTTTTTTGGCTAACTACCTTATTTGGTTGTGTATTAGGATGCTAAATAAAAAATAAAGAAAAATGAGTTGCCTTTTGGGTGGGTAAAATAGATTTTCGTGGTTTAACTAAATTATAGGTACCGAATTTGTAATTTAACGTAAATTATAAAAATCATGTTTCCTTTTTTCCTTTTAGGGAGACAAAGTAAGAAGGCGTAATGATTATGATAGATGGATAATACGACCTCCTGCCCAAGGTCCTAATGTCGCAGGCCCTCCAAGTCCAGGAAGTTTCAATCAAGATATGCTGGCAGCTGGTGTTCAAGTTATTTCGCTAGAGAATAATCACAGTAGCACTGAAGGTGGTCAAGGTGATGCTCATGTTGAGGCACTCCATAGTTGTAGGCCACATGAAAATTTGAGTACGCAGATGCAGCCATATGGTGATGATGGTACAGGCCAAGTAAATATCAAGACTGGTTCAGATCATTCCTCTTCTGAAAGAAGTTAGACCAAGTTTGTGCTGAACCCATATCCTTTTGGATGGAAAATTAGACGTGTGTGTGTTGTAGAGACCAAGTGAGGAGATGTTAATGACACGGTTCGGTTGGGGGCATTCTTCTTGCTCGACGAAAATTCTCTTCTCGTGATGCAAGTATACTGGTAAACTGGAGTTGAAGAAGAGGAACATACTCAAGAAAAAGGAAAAAAAAAAAAACACATAAAACTAAAAAACTAAAACACAAGTTACTTTTGTGGTGGAGGAGAGGGATGCATTTTATGGTTTTGTGGGTTACTGTTGGCTGGCTTGTTTCTTAAATTTATATTCATTTTTGGGTTTTGGTTTTTGGTTTTCGGTAATTATGGTATATGTACTTAAGGTGGGGAATTTTGATTTGTTTCTCCATTGGGGCTGCCCCTCAGCTGGTTTTTTGATATCTTTGGGGTCAGAAAAATTCCGAGTTCTGAGACGAGAGAAGACGACGATTCTGCAAAGGAACTCGAAGGCTGGCTTTTGTTCAGAATGATGGTAAATCTAGAGAGGTTGGCTTTTGGTTGGATTTTGTGGAGGCTGGGCTACAACCGCTGTCTTGTCTTGAAGTGAAGGTTCTTTCCATCTTTCTTATTCTTGAGACTCACCCAGGCGTTTTCTCCATAAATATCTTTCTACTTTAAATGCGATATTAGGAACTTCTGAAGATTCGACTGTTCTGAACATCCTTTTCCAATTGATATTATTTTGCTCGAAATGTCTTTTCATTTTATTTATATGTTTGGAACAGTAGTTGGAAATTAGGAATTTTCAATTCGATTATTACAGTGCTGCAATTATTCCCTAATTTTGTGGGTTCGTTCATTCCTCGAACTCTTGTTTGTTGTGGTTGCTATGGGACAGAGTTCAAGAACTATCCATATGTGGCTGAAATTCAGCTGATTTGAATTATCTATTATAAGCCCTAATCTCATAATTTTTTGTTAAATACCAAGATCAGTAACAACCTTACTTGAACAGGATGTGTTCTATAAGTTGTACAACTATGTCCTTGAGTTCTAAATCTTATGGTTTCAGTCCATTGAAGCCTCTCAAATGTCGGCCTTGATTTCATTCACACGTGGTAGTTGATCAATATAATAAAATCTATAACATCTAATATTAGCTATTTTTTGAAAAGGGAAAAAACCCCTTGACATAAACATGATTTGGCAAGGAAGACGATTGCTGCTAGGTGCATAGTTCTCTGGAAATCTCTTATTTTGTACCTATTGAATGCTTAACAACAAATACTAGTTAAAGTTCATAAGGTTACTAGTCCAACAAATACATGTTAAGTTCTTTAGTTATTAGGAGTGACAAATCTCGCATCAATTCTCTTTCCGGATGAGCATAGTTCAACGGTAAAGACATATAACTTCTGTGAGTTGAAGGTTCAAATCTTCACTACTAATAAAAAAAAAAAAAAAAAAACTATTCTCTTCTCTCTTATCTCTCTCTAAGGTTACCAGGAACCATAAAGAAACAGAGGAAAACTTGCAGTTCAGTAACCAACAACATGAAAGGAAGTGAACCATATTACCATCTCCTCGGTAAGCACTTCTGTTGTTTGACCATCATCATCTCTCAACCAGAACTGGCAGATTGGACAGGTTTTCTGGCATTCATGGAACCACCTCTTGATGCATATCTTATGAAACTCATGTAGGCAAGGAAGACGAAGAACTCGTGATTCCTCTCCCTCCATTACTTTCGACAAACACACCGAACACCATTCCCTGCCCACAGCATCATACAAGGTAGGATGTGCCAGAGCTTCACAACCTTCCTTCTTGGCCCTCTGCTTAACATGTGATTCAATAACATCCCCACAGAATAATGCATCCTTGATTCCTGGATACAGTTTGAGGACAACGAAGTTATAAAAGGAGGAGATTATCTTCCTGTACACCATGCCGTTAAAGTTGAGAAGGATATTCGGTTAAAGTTCTTTAATGGGAGATAATTTGGTCTGTGGAAGGGCGGGTAGATTGGGAAAAAAGATCCCCAAATTTCAAACACAAAGTGGTTGCACCCAAACGAGATTAATCCTCTTGACCTTTCACGTTATAAAATCAAATGCAGGGCTAAATAAAGCTCCTACCTCATGTCGCATCGATATAAACAACACTCCATGCCTCCTGACTTGATAACCAATTCATGAAGGAAACTTGATCGAGAAACACCACAATCTCATGAAAAGGAAATACCAGCCACCCTGCCCCTACGATAGAAACCAGAGAAGACAAATGACAAATTATCTGGACAAAATGGTGCTAACTTAAAAGCACAAACAAAGTTGAAGGCTTACGAGATTGTGGCACAGCACAACTTTCAGGAAAACAGCCACTAGACCCTAGCAAAAAGAAACCTTAATTTAAGCGCTTAAGTGTTCGATGCTTGATGGCCATTGAATACTCTACGTGCTTTCTTCACCACAATTGTGATTTTAATAATGATGCAAGATGAACTAGCAAATTTCTCCATCAGAGAACCAAGTACGTTCGGGCAGAAAATAAAATCAATTATAAACAAGTAATATTGATTTTGATCCACTGAATCATTGTCGTCCTCAGTATGTTCCATCTACAATGAACGCAGTGGTAATACAATTCCTACCATAATGCATGTTTATTATATTGGCATGCATCTTCACCCAAACAGAACATCTTCAGAAAGATATGTGATCAATGAACTATGGCTTCCAGGTAAGTAAAAGCTAAAGGAACAATTGCCTATAATGTGTTTATTATTCATTAATTAAGAACCCAAAAGGAACAAGGTCACTGGGACGGTATAATTCAAGGCAAAAAGGCCTCCTTCAACAGGAATATTAAGCCCTAAAGTTAAGGAGATGACATTATGGACGACAGGAAGAAATTGTAGACGACCCAACAACTATTTAAATTACACCCGGACAATTCAGCGGAAGCCCAAAAGTACAAGCCTCTCTAGATAAAGAAATCGACTATTTTTAACTTCTCAGCAGAGCAGTTCAGAGAATATTCTCTTGTTTAGTTTGACAATAACAATTTAATCGCAAGAAAACAGTACAGAAGTATGGAGGACCAGGGGTCTAATCTGACTATTTTATTGGGCATCGCCAGCAAATTTCTCGCTCTAAAGTGGACATTTATGAGCGTAAACATACAAGTTTAGTGCCATTATGTTGACATCTCTTCTCATAATTCAGCTCAAGAAACAAAAACTTGCCAAATACTGCTCATTTTTCACGATCCTCACGTTTCAATGCATCATCAGTTTCAATTATCCTTCCATCCCTAGGCACCAAGCAAGGAATTCCGCCCTTTATCTAACATAATCATAAGAAAGACGGATGAATTACAACATAAAATAGAAACAGGTATATGTCTTTTAGCCTAACTCCCACAAATGAGGGAAGAAAAAAGGGAAAGAAACCCAATGGTTCCCTTCTCCATGCTTCCAAAAATTACTAAACACTGCTTTCTGGTTCATACAGCCACTCTTACTACCTACGCTTGCAAAATTGAGAAAGATTTAATTTCACTAATCGAACCAAGAGTGTCACGATCCATGAGTAGCTAGATTAATATGACTCAAAGTCACTGTAAGCCTTCGCTATAAATGTTCCAGAAACTGAACCAGAGCGCTAACATGGAAAAAGAAATTTCTAAATGAAATCAGAAAACGGCTCAAGATGAACAAATAGACTGGAATCCAAAATCTTGCATAATTCAAGCAGATACATTCTCTTTATGTACTTACAGGGAAAGAAACACCAATCGTATCGCTAATTAGAGAATTCGACGCCTCGCAATACCTAACGGCAAAAACGCACAACCAAACAAATTATGCACGAGGAATTTGCTAGAAGGACAGAAAATTGTGGAGTACAAATCGAATGATCACCTCAGCGGTTGCTTCGTGAGCGGGCAGACCAGGATCTCAGAGAGAGTCTTGGTGAGACCAGAACCCGCATCTTTCAGAAGTGCTCCGCTTATTCTCACCATTTTTACTTCGAAGAAAGTTTTGATTCAGTTTTTCGCGGTCTGGATTTCTGCTTCAACAGGTTTAAATCCACTCCGGGGCGAACATAGGAGACTACTCGGTAGAAGGGTTCCTTTCTTTCCCCCCAAAAAAATTATTGTTAGTTTTATACTTCTATTTTAGTATTTTTTTTGGAAGACTTTTATTTAAAAAGAAAAATCAAAATAAGTTTATATATATATATATATGTAGATATTGATAATTTGAATGATTTTTTATAGCAGGATGTAGCTTATATCGACTTTTATTTTTTTTTACACAAACATAATTCATTTATTAATACTTACTTGCAAATGATATTGAAAAAGGCTGATCCCTATCAATTTTAATTTGATCCTTAACTATACATCATTTATTTCAATCAAAAGATTTCATTTTTTTTAAAATAAAGTCTTTTAATGAAAATATAACATGACATTGGGTTTAGAGTCAAATCCTTTTAATAGGAAATTTAGAGTTAAATTGAATAAATAATATACTTATCAAATGATTCTATGACTAATACTTTATTAATAATTTGATGGTTATAAAAACTCAGTCACTTATAATAAATAAATAATAAACGAATAATTTGGTTTTTATTTCTTTAGAATGAGAATGATAATTTCTTGAAAATATTAATCTTAATCATTTGAGTTACTCACTTGACTTATGTTTTAGGTGTAATAATTTAATTATATTACTTACATGTTTGGGTATTTTTATGGTTGGATTTAAACCAAATAAAAAATTTATTGACTGAATTTTGGAAGATTAGATTTATTTTTTATTTAGATGGGAATATTAATTTCACCTTCGCAAAAACTTAAACGAACAAAAGAAGAAAAGTATTTTTATTTCTTCTTCTTCTTCTTCTTCTTCTTCTTCTTCTTCTTCAGTTCTTCCCTATTGCGTCGCCGTCAAACGCCGTTTAAAATTTTTTCCCATCGCCTCCAAAGGGCAACTTTTAAACTGCAAGCCCACGACGAATATGCGTTAATGGCGGAAACTAAGTGGAAGAAGAACAAGAACAAGAATTTGGTACAAGTAAATCAATGTCGCATCGCAAATGAATGGCAAGGATTTCCACTCGACAACTCCTTCACTTCAGACACGCCACCCTCTCTCTGCCCTATAAATCCATTAGTCGATCTTCGTCTCCATTTTGCTCTTTCCCAGAACCAGATCTTAATCCCCCTAGACATAACCGAAGCTTCTCGCTTCTCCAATCATGCCAGAGCATAAGAGAATTGCTTCAAATCCATGGCCATTTGATCACCTCAGGACTTTTCAACCACCATTTTTGGGCCAATAGAGTTCTACTGCAGGCCTCGGAGTTTGGCGATATTGTTTATACTATTTTGATCTTCAGGCGTATAAAAATTCCCAATACCTTTTGTATCAATAGAGTCCTCAAGGCTTATTCTCTCAGCACAGTTCCTCAAGAGGCTGTGTTCCTGTATTTTGAATGGCTTGGTAATGGGTTTCGGCCAGACACTTACACTTTTCTGTCACTTTTTTGTGCTTGTGCGAGTGTTGGTTGTGGGGCATCTGGGCGGAAGTGCCATGGACAGGCCTTCAAGAATGGGGTTGACTGTGTGATGGTTCTGAGGAATAGTTTGATTCATATGTATGGCTGTTGTGGGGATATCGAGCTCGGTCGCAAGGTGTTCGACGAAATGTCGGCGCGGGATTTGGTATCTTGGAATTCGATTGTTACTGCCTATGCAAGGATTGGAGATTTACATACTGCCCACGACTTGTTTGATGAAATGCCTGAGAGAAATGTTGTCTCTTGGAACTTGATGATTGGTGAGTATTTGAGAGGTGGGAATCCTGGCTGTGCTATGAAGTTGTTTAGGATTATGGTGAAGATGGGAATCAGAGGGAACAGTACAACAATGGTTAATGTACTTGGTGCTTGCAGCCGATCGGCTAGGCTGAATGAAGGAAGATCGGTTCATGGTTTTATGTACCGGGCTCTGATGAAGTTTTGCATATTTATCGACACGGCGTTGATTGACTTGTATAGCAAATGCCAGAGAGTGTCGGTTGCACGTCGAGTATTTGACAGGATGCTGAATCGCAATTTGGTCACGTGGAATGCAATGGTTTTGGGGCACTGTCTTCAGGGGAATCCTGAAGATGGACTTGAGCTGTTTGAGGAAATGGCTGCCAAACTGAGAGAAAGAACTGGGGAAACAGACCATGACAAGAAGTACGGGCGAGACGAAGGTAAACGAGAAGTTTTCCCAGACCAAATTACATTTATTGGCGTTCTCTGTGCCTGTGCCCGGGCAGGACTGCTGAAAGATGCAACCAGTTATTTCGATGAGATGATTAACGTGTTTCTTGTGAGACCAAATTTTGCCCATTATTGGTGTCTGGCCAACGTTTACGTTGCAGCAGGGTTAATTCAGCAGGCTGTGGAAATACTGAGGAACATGCCTGGAGATAATGAGGACTTTTCATCAGAATCCGCCATATGGATCAACTTGCTCACTTCATGTCGCTTTGCGGGAGATGTTTCTTTGGGAGAACAGATCGCAAACTATTTGATCAACACAGAACCTAAGAACGAATCATACTATAGACTGCTTCTGAATATTTATGCTGTAGCAGGGAAATGGGAGGATGTTACTAGAGTTAAGTTGTTAATGAAAGAAAAAAGACTAGGAAGAACGCCGGGTTGTAGACTGATCGACCTAAAAGAGATTGTTCACAGATTGAAATTTGGAAATCTTCTGCAAGAAGGGATGGAGGAATCTAATACAGTTATGCTTAAACTTGCTAGTGAGGTGAGTTTATGGTCAAATATTGCTGCAGGGCAATCAGATATTGGAGTTTAGAACCATTTGCTACTAAGATAAGATGTGTAGACACACGACAGTTTACACAAAGATCCCGTTGCTTAATGTCTAAGATCCCAAGGGTTTGTTCCTGTATCACGAAAAAGATGATCCGAAGCTAGACTCGCAGATTAAGGCGATCTCCCGAACATATCTTGATAACAGCTTGCTTACAGCTACCCGACAGAACTGAACTAACAGTCCTGCAGAGTTATGCTTTTACATCATATGATAGCTGAGAAAATGCAGAAAGAGGTCTGTTTCCCCTGCTCTTCAGCTGAAAATGTTGGCTATGCCACCTTAGTTTCTTTAATACAGCCTTATGGATTTGTGGTGAAAGCTTTCTCTTCAACCTAGCAGCATGTGAAGTGAAGGTGGAGCAATAATAGTTATAACATTTATTGCTCATCTGAATTCATAGATGATTTTGTTGAGCAACTTTTCTTATCTATTTCTCAATTCAATTCTGTTTCAATTCATTTTGATTCTCTTGGAATAATGGGAACTAAAATTTTTCAACCGTCAAGCTTTCTAACTTGATTAGATGACTCTAACTCCAAATGGTGTGAGCCCCATCTTACTTCTGAAAATATTTGCCTCAGAGAGTAACCTAATTGCGGAGCCATCGGCTGCTTCTGCACAAAACTCTACAGCAGTCCGAAGAGAGGCTATTCAAGCAAGATGAATCATAAGAATGATGGTTCTCACTAACTCAATCCACATGAATCCACATGAATCAAAGGAGCAACTTCCTATTTGGATAACCAGAAAAAGGAAAGAAAATCTTTTGACTCTATTCGTGTGTTATTTATCCCCACTGTCTTGCACAATTCAGAGTCAGTCACAAGTCACAACAAGATCAAATCCTTCCTTCATTTATGAATATTTATTATACAGTCTACATGCTTTTTTCCCCTATATACTGAGAGAACTGTTCACTTTAGAGAGTATTTGTTACACTATGTACAGACTTTACAGATGAAAAGAGAAGAAAAAGAGCCAACCTTACATGGGGTTAATCAATATCAAAGAGACCTAGCAATATTTGTGTTACAACTTAAATGGAAGCACTACGTTCAAGTATTTTTATTTCCAAAGCGACTGGATTTTGTTTTCGGTTCACTTAGGATTCCATGTATTGCAAGGGTGGAGGGCTTGTTGTTATATTCTCTGGACCTGCAAGTCAAATTTTGAATCAAACATTTGGGAATGTCTTTGCAGGCATGCAGCACTTACAATTAAATTGGATTTTGATACTTGAACTTTCATATTTGTCATATTTGGTCTTCATATATTTTGAAATGATTTGTTTTTGTATATATTTTACCTAAATTTTAGGTTGTTCATATTCATACCCTACCAAACTATACTTGATACGTGTAGCTTAAAATATAAATCTACGTGGCTTTATGTAAAATTGGTCAAATGTATTATAGAAATTTAACAACAATGACTTAAAATAAACATTTACATTTATCTCAAAAAAAAAAAAAACTTTTACATAAAAATCAGAAATCAAAATAAAATATTTGAAACTGTAAAAAGCATGATATTTAAATAGGATCAATATAAGTGTAAGTAATGCGTTGTAAAAATGTAAAATGTTGGAGCAGAAAGGACATACTACAAATCCCTCGCAGCTCCACTTCTCGCCATTCTTGGACGAGGGCACAGCAGCAACACATCAAGTGAGATAAAAAATCATCAATGAGGCCTCCCTACCAAAGAAGGTGAACAAGAAACAAAAAATGTAGCTCAAAGCCTAAAACATTATGTATTAACGAATTTACGTGTAGAGACATGACTAGCAGGCAGTAGCAAATATTCGGATTCGTAACCTAAGGTAATATCTGCAGAAAAACAAGTCACAAACTATGACGACTCTCTCCCTCCTCAATACCAGAAATGTAGAAATGGAATACATATCCCTAAAAACAAACACCAAAAAGAAATCGAGCGAGAGAATTTGGAGCAAGAAGAGTTTCATAATGATTTTCATGAAGCATCCAAGTAATTTGATAATTCATCATTGGCATTTTTATGAGATAAGAGCATCTACGCTTGCAAAAGAAGCATATTGCTGCACCCGCCATCCACTCTTACATGAAAAGAAAAGGTCTTAATTTACAAGTTRGAACATGAGTTACCTTGATATTTAACATATTCCGGAGTTTTCGTCGGACACAGCAAGTGTAACAACAGCATGAGAACACCAAAKAATATGCCATCAGCTCGTTGCATGCATCTGCTGAAGCTGATAATCAAAGAAAATGTAAGATTCATTTTAGCTTTGATACGTTACAATGCATGTAAGTAATTCAAGACGAAATTAAACAAAGTTATCATTGTTGGCTCATCCAAATTTCAACTTTTGAAACCAAACACCAGAGCAACTTTTAGAAACTTGAAGTTCTGGAGCTTTGAAGAGTAAATAAAATGTATTCCTTTTTTTTTTCCTTGTTCTTTCCTGCATCATATCTGACAAAGTGATATTCAACAAATTTAAAATTGACCGTGTTCATTGATCACTTACACACGTGCCTGTTGGCAGTGACGGAAGCAACCTTTGACAGTGTCCAACAAGGACAGAAAAATGTCTTTATACCTGAAATGTACAAAAATAATTTGAATGAAAATCAAAACKTATGCACATACCACGCCAATAACATTTTTCAAACGTTATTGTGCATTAGTTTGGCCAATCTACGTTTAATCAAATTAATCACTGCACAGTTCTCAAGAAAAAAAGTGAATCTCTACACAGTAGATGGAATGGAAGGAAGAAACGCACAATTTTTAAAAAAATCTTTCGCCTTTTACAATTAAAAATACTACAAAAAGAATTCAATGGCCATGTATGTTTGCGAATGCTTGGTCCCACAAGTTAACAAATGGAAATTAATGTTTGATTTACTTCAAAGTTGATGTCAGGAATGCACAGCCATAACATATAAAGGAAAAAGACTGAAAAAATGGTGAAAATTCAAAGGTCAAGGTTACATTTTGCAGTTATAGATGAAAGTGATTCAATATAAGATAATATGACATTTCAGGAAATTGTAGCAGGATAAAGGAGAATAATTTTAGTTTGTAGATCTTTTGAAGCATGTATATGAGACCCGAATTTMTTGTCGCTTGAATGACAAACTATAACCAGTCAATAATAAAATAAAGGACACTCTGCAGTGAGATGGACGTACAAAGATAAGGTTGTGAACAACAACCAAGCAAATCAGCATGCCATTTTTCATGTTGACAATTGCTGGATAGCAGATCGTGTCTTGATAAAACTGATGAGACCTGTCTGAAAGAAAAAAAAAAATGGAACAGAATCCACCATATGGCAGACTTCAAGAAATTCAATATGTTAAGAATAAACGACATCAGAGTCAAATTCTGCTTGCAGACATTACTTATATTAGTTAAATAACTTATCAAGACATTCTAGGCCTGATGGAAATGGAAGGGTTTAGAACTTTTAAAACAGATATCACATATGAGTTAGCCACCGGACAGGGGACTTGGCCCTTGAGGGTTTTAAACGATACAACCTAAATTTGGTAAAAACAACCCAAACTATGTAACTTTATACAAGTTAGAAGATAGAATATCATCTGTGACTTCCTCAGGCTTTCAGTAAGGGTGTGTGGTTTCAACTTTCAAGTAGTAAATTGGAATAAATAGTAAAAACTTTCCATAGACATGCCCAAAAATGCAGAAAGAAAGGACCAAAACAATAAACAAGCCTACCTTGCCGTACTGGCATCTCTATTCTTGTGAAAACTTTCATCATAAGCATGAGTAGTTTCACCATTGGCATCAGAATAATGATATTCAAGTTGTGTCGGAATGCCTTTCTGTAAATCTTTTTCTACAAAATAATTAGCAGACAAGGCTTCTGTGATATCAAATAAACGTTCAATTATTTGACATTGGCCAACGTCCATATTAGATTGAGATATTTGCAACTCAATCTGAAGTTTTTCATTTTCCATTTGAAGCGCATCATGTAGGCCCAAGTTTGGGTAGGAACGAGAAAGAGTTTTTTCCAATATGGTAGCATCGTTTTTGGTAGAGTCAGGTTTGAGGATCACATCCTGGATCCTTCTGTCATCGTCCTCAAATATATACTCACATTGATGCTTTTCAATATCATCAAGCCTCTCCTGAGAAGAAAAACAGAGAAAAAAGCACAAGCATTAAATTACTAGGCATCATTTTCATTCTTGCATTCAAAATGAAGATAGAAATGATTCATATTAAGAACGACATTAAAATAAATTTCGTTCATTTTGATACTAAAATGGGTTTCCATAATCCAGTAACCAGTTATGTAGTAGAAAAGTATCCATAACAATAACAATAACCAAGTAAGAGAACGGATATGCAAATTCAGACAAAACAGCGGAAGTTTTGAAAAACTGACGATCACAAAGCAAAAATACAGTAAAAGGAAATGAATTATTACTCTGACTCGAGCATTGTCCACCAGATTAATCAGAGGGACCAGCCGCAGATATCTATCGATTTCACTTTGAGCCTTCCTAAATTGGTAAACAACGTTCCATCCCATAGCCAGCAAATAGAGATAGCTACGATCCTGGCAGCTATTGATCAAAATGTATGATCTTCTTAAAGCATCCTCTAGCTGCTCGAGAGGCTCTCGAGTCTCTGGATATTTCTTCAGCTCTGATATCTTGAGTTGATCCAGTAAGTTCCCGATCAACTTGAGATGCTGTGCAAATTGCTTGCAGTTCTTCTTGTGCATCCTGGCGGTGTTTGCTGCTCTTACAATCATTGAAATCAGCTGAACTGCATTGATACCTGTCAGCTGAGCCACACCCGCAACGTCCCCAAGACTGTCCCACGAAGACATACTTAACCAGTCTAAATGTTCTTAGAAACACCACTGCCCATGACCCCCCAGAATTTCCAAATTGCTGACCAATAACGTAACCAAATTCAAATTTTCTTTTCCTAATCAGCAAAAGTTGGACTCTGGGAATCTTTTAGGGACAATCTCTTGACTATAGCAGAAAAGTAAGCAATCTTAATTCCGATTGCCAGTTCTATATGAAATCATTGGCATTAATAAATGTCTTCAATGAATATGGATTACTGCGCTTGATTGTTAGACATAAGCATTGCAATGAAAACTACCCCACAAGATCATCTTAGAAGTTCAAACCTCCAGCACGCAGTTTACGGCTGCACACGAAATTATCCGAATAATTTCAAGTGGAATTTCAAAGAAGAAAAAAAAATATATGACCATGTATACAAATTTTTCGAAAAGAAAGAGAATACAGTTCGTCTCGTACTTCTACACACCGACCTTCTTAGCATAACAATAACGATGACGATAACATAACTTSAACTTCAACTGAACTTGAAATTGCATTCGAAGCATAATATGCAGAACAATAAGCACGAAGCAACATGCTGAAAAKAAAAAACTCAACTAATTCACAGAAAGCCGAATGGTTTCTGCACTGAAGAGGCAACAAAGCTATGGTTACTCACAGTGACAAAAATAATTTAGCACTATCGTTTCTTCTGGTATTTCTATAGGAATTCGGAAAATTCAGAGCAGAGACCTCTGAATCATGCTGATCACCGTTTGAAGTCTACTTCCTCCGCAATCTGCAATCCGCACTCACGGTTTTCCCAGGACGAATGTGATTTTTGCTGCGCTTTTTTGCAGAACCGCTCTCCCCACACGCACGCCATGCGAGTTATGGAAGCAACTATCTTGGTGCGTAACCAGCGGAAAAGCCCTTCGTTTATTTCAAATTGCGACATTGCCATTCCCGCGAAATACACATTTATTTATTCTTTACATAAATCGCACGTATTATTTAATTGTAAACTAAATCTTTTTTCTTTTCAAAAAAGAAAAAGAACTGTAATTATATATTTGCATATAACACTTTTAAAATATTAATTATACAGTTAAAATGCACTTGCATTAAATCAACAATTTAATTTTTCAAGTTTAGTTTTGTAAGATTTAATATACTTTTAAATTTGTAATAATAATTGAACTTCTTAATTTTAATATGTAGATTAAAATTTATAATCATTTAATCCATAAATTTTAGACTATAGTTTAAATGTTTAGAAGAAGAAATTGAAGTATTTCTGCTGGGCCATCATCAGTGTACTTGAATAATTGGAATTTGAATATTCTAAAAAGAATTGAATTAGAATTAATATATCGGCAAAGCTCAAAACGACGTAGCAACGTCCTTTCTGGTATGGGATTCGTGACCTTTCAACCCAGCTTTGGTCATTTAATTTGGTTTTTGCTTGCCTTTGAACTGACAAAGCATTTTAGAAACCCTTCACCAAAAAGCAACGTTATCCTTGACCATAATTATTAAGTAATACCCTCAAACTTTTGCAAAAATTCAACTTCCAACCAACAATTTATTTTTCTCTTATCAATTTTCTTTTCTAAAAGAAGAAAAAAGATTAAAAAAAAAGTTTGAGGCAGCTTAAAGACTCCTCTATGTTCTACCTCCACGTTTCAGATGCTGTTTCGCTTTCAGTCTTTTCAGATCGGACTGTCTTCAAGACTTGCTAAATCATAATTTTGTTTACGTCCTTAAAGTTAAAAATGACTACTTTTTCGATCTATATTTTCATTAGATTAATGATTAAGTTTTTAAATTTAGTTTATAACAATTTAATCTTTATATTTTTAAAATTGTAACAATTTAACCTATGAACTTTTGTATATGACAATTTAATGTTTATAGTTTAAAATTTGTAACGATTTAGTCTAGTCCTATCATGAAAAATATTGTTGAAGTTTAATGGAATTTCTTATATAGGTAGATCATGACCAAATGTACTTATAAACTCTAAAAGGACTAAATAATTACATAATAAAAACCGACACTTAATTTTGATGAGATTTTTCATAATATGGACTAAATTATTGCAAAAATATAAATACATGGATTAAATTATTACTGACTTGAAGTATAAAGACTAAACTACTACGGATTAAAGTTCAATAACTAAATCATTATTTAAATGAAAGTTGCGTGATCAAGAGTAATTTTCAACTGTTTTGTTATTAAAATTTATAATTTTTCAATTAAAATTTTGTTGTTGGTAAGCTTTAAAAATATAATTGTGATGAAATTTGAATATAGTTTTTAAAAAAAAAAAATTTAAAAAATAGGTGGGTCATTTTCGGGATATTAAAAGAGGTAGTTTTTTGTAAAGATCAGATGAAACGAGGAAAATGTTAAAACTATTAAAGATGAAATTATTTATTTAGACATTTAAAAGTAGGAAATAATTTAGGCTTTTTAATTAGAGGGAAAGTAGCCCACAATTAGCACAAATTTAGCCTTATAGGTCTGGGCCCTGCCCCAAACAAAAATTAAAAACTTGTTTCCAAATATTTATATATCTTGAATTAAAAAAAAAAAAGAAAAGAAAAAAAAAAGAGAAATCAATTTTCACGTGATATTTAACTCTTTTTCTTCTAATATATGGCTAAAGAGGAGCCAGTCAATACACCTTTTGGATGTGGTAACAATAATTTCCTTTTTATTTCTTTACCATCAGAATTGGAGAAAATGTCAAAAGTAAAGTTTACAGTAGATACACTAATACAAGGAGAAAATTTAAAAATTATACAAGATAAATTTAAAAAAATTAATCATGTGACAGATCGATATCAAAATAGAAGTATATATTATTGAATAATTTATGGGTCAAAATAATTAGCGAACAGTGTTTAAAATGTGAGTGGTGAGAATTTTGTAGGTCTTTTGGGAAGGGTGGTAACTATCCCAGAAGATGTAATTATCGGCGTCGGGGCAGCTGTTTAATTTTGTCAAAGGGTTACACAGAATGCTGACCTCTATATTTCCTGTGCCACAGCACCCTTTTTCCACTTCCTCAAAACCTGAATCATAATTTACACTCGTCACAGCCCATAAGGTCATAAATTAAATATATATTCATTTATAAATTTCAAATATTTCATACATATACTTCAACTTATTGTTATTTTTATCTCTATTTACAAAATTGTAACACATTTTTTTTTTCAATGAAAACCCTTTAATATAAGTTTATGACTACATTATAAGAAATTTAGTTGGGTGAGTATCATGCTAAATTTTTATCAAAATAAATGAAAAAATAAAAATAAAAGAATTGCAAAGTACATGGACAAAAATAAAATTATAAATTAAAATGAACAAGAGTTAAAATGTATGAAGATCAAATTTGACATTTTCAAAATACATAAATGAAAATAAACCAAAACCAATGTATAGTACACGAGGCATACATGTTTCTTTTCCAAATTTAAGTTACATTTTTTGTTAGTACAAACATGTGGGGTGGAGGTTCGAACTAGATAGGTACCTTAATTACTTAAGCTATGTTCGATTTGGTTTTAGCTCAGTTACTTATGATTAATAAAATAAATAAATATATATTAATAAATATATATATATTGGAATACAAAGGACTACTTTTTTTTGAAAAATATAAAGGACTAAAAATAAGACTTGAAAAACAAATTTAGTAAACGAAATGAAGGAAGAGTTACCATATTGGTCAGGTTTTTGAATGAGCGCAAGTAACGGATTGTAGATGTCGAGATAAACAAATTTAGCATCTGAATACTTATTTCCCATCGACGTTATCAACGAAGATAGCTTCGAATTGAAAACCAGTGCCGCTTTGTTGGCGGCCTCAGAGCAGCCTCGAGCAACGCCGCCGCCTAGGGTTCTCTGTGACGGAACGCAACCGATCGCCGGCAAACTGAGGACTCCGATCCGTCTTCCTCCGAGCGCGTATAGCTGCTGCAAGAAACCGGAAGCCGATCCGAGCATCAGATCGGTGTACGCCGCGACGTCGTAATGGAGTCGCCGGAACGGAGTGATGAAGTAGGTGTTGGCGATGTCGTCGCTGCCGGAGCATACTATGATTACGCTTTTGGACAGGATGGGGGCCGCTCTTTCTTCTCCGACGGCGGATTTTATCTTCTTTATGTATTCTTTGAACATCTCCAGTTGATCGTTTAGCGACAAGACCGACTGGTTTTGGTATCTTGTTAGCAAATTAAAATTTTATTGACGAAAAATAAAATATTAGTTCTATTTATTATTTTTGTGTACTGTTTTTACTTTTTAATAGATGAATAGAGGCTTTTTTTTTTTTAATTTAACAAAAAAAAAGTATAATAAAAATAAATCTAATATTTCATTTTAGTCCAAATATCCTAGAGAACAAATTCTCGTTCCCATTTATGTCATTGGGAAAAATCCTCCGGCCGTCGTAATGAAAAAAGTGACACACCTCTACCTTTATAACAAAAATGATTTTGATCGCTACTTCTAAATGAGATTTTAAAAGTAATTGTACTTAAACCATTTTAAAGATATTAATAAATACTTCTTTAGATATTTTACAAATTAGTTAGCTATACAAATCAAAATTAAATGGAAAAAGATAACTTGGGTCTTCAAGTGGTGTTTTTTTTCTCACTTATAACATAATATTTAAAAAAAAACAAAAAATACTCATTTGCGAAACCGTACTAAATCATATTATATAGCGTAGGAGAAAGGTTGTAAGCACAGTTATCTCTAATCTCAAAATGTACCGATCATGCGATTTTACTCAATTTTATCATTGTTTTTAATTTGAGTATAGTTTGACTAGCTTAGTTTAGACATTTACCGGTACATTTCTTCAATAATCTAAAGTATTTATACTCCATGGTTTATAAACTCAAATCTTCTAGTAATTTTTTTAAAATTAATACTATAATACTTACCGTCTAACCAACTTTTCCTACTTACCACGACTCAAGATTTGACACACAACTATTATTAATATATTTATTTCTTTTTTGAAAAAACAATACATCTCTTATAGAAAATACTTCGACGACTCTAACTGATAAGGACATATATATCTTTATATTTTGACCACCGTTCACGTCTGACAATCCATTATTAAAAAAATTCTCTATTTTTACCTTCTCTGATCCGTTGTCAAATATTTATAGATAATTAACCTAGGATAAATCCTTATCGCCAAGAACGTTAAGTATTTTGCATTCTCTCCCCCCATTAGCAAGAAAATTCAGCTGACATTTAGAAGGTGAATATTATTTAAATATATCTATATATATATATATACTTGGGTACTTATTAGTTCGTGTCCATTTTTGCTGACCGCAAGTGGATAAACTCATAAATTATGTAGTTTAAAAGAAATAAAAACATGGTTTGTTGATATATGGGGTCATTTGTGTAGATATTTTTGTTATATAGATACCGTTATCTTTGCCGTGAGAGGGTCATATCCCGAAGCTCCGGACGCAAAACTAACGCCGGTGAGAAGCTCCTCCGTCGTCAAACTCGGATCAAGATACGCCGGCAACAGCTCCTTCACACCCAACTCTTCCGCTGCCACATTTTCAACACCAAAATACAGTTAAAAAAAAGGATCAACAAGGAAAAGTAACCAATAAATTATTAATTTTAAATCATCCCCAGCTAAAATTTAAAATTTGATGTTTTAACGATAAGATACGAAAAATAAAATGCCGGGCTGACCTATAAAATCGGAAGGAATTTTGCCGTTGCTAAACCTGCCGGTCGGCGATCCGCCGTTGAAGTCCCGTCCATAAGGTGGAAAATCGCATTTAACCAACGTTTTGATGTAGTTATTATTTCCTGGATCCATGATTGAATCTCCGAACACGATGAGCGCCGGAATCTTTTCATTTGCCGGTAGGAGAGAATCAGCGGCGGAGCCCTTCAGGCAAAAACCCAAAAAAATAATACATAAAATCTCCAAGTAATCGGGAAACTTCTTCTGGAGTTTCCGGCGGAGCATAATTCTGTTCAAAATAAATTAACAGGATTTATATACTTTTTTTAAAAAAAAGAACTCGTTGTATAAATAATAGAGGAACTCGGAGCTTCTGCGTTTATATAATGGTGTGGTTTGATTTTTTTCCATGGTTGGCCGTATGACGTGTTTCATTATCATTGGTTAGATCGATTGACATCTTTCTAAAACAAATAATACTCCACTTCTTAAACTTATTTCGCCACCATTAAATAATTGACAATTAATAAACGAGGCACAATCAATTAAATATCTTCATTTTAAAGGCTCTTCTTTTCTTTTTACTTTCATCTCAAGTTTGATATTATAGATTAACAAAAACTACCCTTTAATAGTCTCCCTTTATGATATGTGTTTGAAAAATAAACATGAAAGAATAATCACAAATATATATTTTTTGTTTCCTTTAATCAAACACGTCTTTTGTTTTTTGTTTTCCTCTTTTTGACAGACGTCTTTTGTTCTATTCATTTTAACAAAACACATTGAAACTATTAACAAAAACTACCCTTCAATTTAAAAACCTCGTTTATGTACCCTTTAATCTAAAAGCCTCCTTTCCAGAGATGTGTTTGAAAAATAAACGTGCAAGGAATAATCACAAATACTTTAAAATACTATAAAGTTTTTTTGTTTTTGGAAATTTAAGATTTATAATGATATTGTTCTAAAATAAGTATAATTCTTAATAAGTTTCACAATTAAAAATACATCGAACTCAAAGTTCCTTTGTTTCTATTCGTACTTTTTTTTCTTTTGAAAAGAAGAAAACAACTATCATTGGTTGATGAAAATCAGAGAAATTTGGTGAAATATTTCGTGATGTGTGGAAAAAAATATTTGGCCAAACTAAGTGTACGCTAATCTAACTTATACCTATATCGTTTTAATTTCCTTTCCAAATTATAGGCAATGGTGTATTACTATTTTTAACAGTAAACGATGTCATTCAAATTATATTTCTTGCATATGTATGGTTATGGAGAGAAGTGCACATACCCCAGATATAGAAGGTCATAAAAGGCAAAGAGCCATCGACTTCTGAGTAATAAAAAAAAATATTAAACGATGCTTTATTTTGTAAGGTTTCATATGTCTATTTATTTTATATTTAAAGAGTTAGAAAGTTCTAGTTTTTATTTCAAAGATTAGGAGGCTTAGGGATAAAATCATAAATCGGAGATTAATTTTAGCCCACAAAAAGTGCTGTTTGGATCAGAAAATGTGATGAGAATAGCAAACTTTGCTTTATCTGATTTTTTTAGGGGAAATTACTTTATCTCATTAAATTAATTAATATCGTAATTAGTAATGAAGTTGATTTCATTGTTTGTCAAAAATTTGAATGAGAGATTGACTTACATAAAATTAGTTAATTAAAAAGCGGAAAATACTTTTATCAAAAAAGAAAAAAAAAGGCGGAAAATTAATTTTTGTAGCGAGGATTTTGAAAATATATGGGTAGTAACATTAACAGTTATTCACCAGAAATCAGAAACTTAACAACACTCCAGTAAATTTTAATTTAAAGTTTAGAAATGAGACAGCTAAATTAGAAGGTTAAAATCAGATTTAATTACTACATTTACAAATCTCCTCCGGAATATATGGTGTTTACCTTTGCAAAAAAAAAGGAATATAGGTGTAGTATTAGATATTAGTTCAATCACTCTTTNTTTTAAATAGAACAATAAAATTGGGGATTTGAACCGTTGATTAAAGGTTATATTTTATTAGTTTTTTCAAATTTATTAGTTTATCAATTAGCATTTAGAATTTAATAGGTAATTTCTATTATTCAAGACTACAAATAAGCACTTTTAAATTGTATTTGGAAGCTTTTGTAGGAATGTTATACAAAATATCGATGTCCGACCTAGTCGATTTAGACGTCAAATCGACGCTGACCAACTGCTGATCACCCGTAAATATCTTCATTTTTTATGAAGAGGTTTCTTCATTCTTAAAACTGATTTAATTCATTTTAACATAGCATAGAGATCCGTTTTTTTCTTTTAAAATATATTAGCTATTTCGTTAAATAAACTTAAAAAGAAAAAATCAACCATAGTTCCAAAACTTTTAATTCATATTTATCTGATTCCTCATATTTTAAATTATTTGATATTTGTGACCAATTAAAAATGAGATAAGTACACATAACCACATAATTAAAAAGTGAGGGTTGTGAGCATTAAAAGCAAGCCAAGCCCTACCAAATACCAATATGATATATATGGCCAAAGGCCTAAAAGCTAAGGTTTGGAGTCACAAGAGCGAAAAGGACATAAATTAAAAGGGCCGGCAACGCGTCTACTAACCACCAACTAACCCCAACACATCCTAAATCCTACCCCTCATTCTGGCATTCATTTTAGACTTGTGTATTTTTCAAAAAATATTTTTAATATTTGTGTAGTAATTTTGAAAATGACAAGATCAATCCTCGTTTAGTAATCTTCTTATTTATTATTTCTTGTTTATGATTTTATGTTTCTAAAATTGTATAAAAAATTTCAACAAAAAAAATTGTTTTTATTTATTGTTTCTAGTTTGAGCAAAATCAATTATGTTTTTATTTATTAAAAAAGAGTGGAACAAAAAACAAGAACGTTACCAAACGAGTCTAAATTTCTTGTTTTTTTTTGTTCTCGTTTCCCGTATTTCCAAAACATAAATAACAATATTATTTTATTATTCTTGACTTATAAAATACATCATAAATATTAAAAAATATATATAACTTAAAAGGTTAATTTTCATATTTAACTTTTAGCTTTTTAATTTAATAATTCAGAGAGCAAAAACAATAAATAATTATCAAACACATTTATGTTTGTTTTTCAATGGAAAAAAGAAGATGAAAAAAAAAACATCAAATAGTTAAAAAAACACATTTCTCATTTTCATTATTAAAAATAACAAAACAAGAAACAATAAATAGAAAACGAGAAATAAAAAATAAGAATGAGAACGTTACTACACGGGACCTTCAGATTATTTTTATTATTTATTTATTTTTGTTACAATTGGCATTTATTTAGTTAGTAAGTGCTAGTTAACATATATATTTTCTTCTTTAGAAATAGGCTAAATATATGTTTTAATCAGTAATGTTAGAGTATTTTTTCAATTTAGTCCCTATTTTTCAAAAAAATTATAATTTAATCCCTTATATTTTAACATTTTTCATACTGACCCCTCACTATTAGTGAATGTTAAAATTGGTTGATAATAAATTTATATGTCATAATATAATATTTAGTGATCGAATTAGTAGAAATTTAAATGAGACAAAAGACTATCGAAGGAAGAAAGCTCAAAATTTCAATGAGAGATTAGAAATTTCCTCTCTCAAATGACATTTTTTTCTCCAAAATTTCAGCCATTTACCATATATATTATGTCGTGTAAGTTCACTCAACTGATTTTTAACCTTTCTCAACAATGAAGAACTAAATTAATAAATATTAAAATATAAAAAATTAAAATAAAAGTTTTAATGGGTGGAGACTAAATTTCAAAAATATTCAAATATTAACAACTAAAACATATATTTAATTCTAACACTCTTTCACCATGTATATTATGTGTGTAAGTTCACTCTCAACTGATTTTTAACCTTTTTCAACCATGAAGAACTAAATTAATAAATATTAAAACATAAAAAATTAAAATAAAATTTTTAAAGGTTGGAGACTAAATTTCAAAAATATCCAAATATTAACCACTAAAACATATATTAATTCTAACACCTTTTCAAACCTAATTTCCTCCCATTAATAAGGGCTGCGCACCTGCTTTAGGGGCGTCAGACTTTTCTTTTTTCTTTTTATTATACAATAATTGATAAGTGTTTATATTTTTATAAACGTAAAAAAGTAGATAGCGTTCAATTTACTAGTTATTAATTATGATTTCGGCCCAAAGATCAACATTGACATGTGGGATAAGATTCCAATTAAATTCAACCAAAACAAAAGACAGAATCCTTTGACTTCCACAAGTTTGAGTTCATTTTTAAAAAATAAACTTATGAGAGAGGTTGTAGCAATGAAAACATATTATGAGATTAATCTAGGTTAATTTAATCTCTTGATTGGAGATATATCATAGTTTTTACGATTGAGTTACCGAAAAAGAAGGTGCACCTTGTTAGCATAGGTAATGATTATCAATTTTTTAAAGTATTTTTTGACCATTCTTCCATGATCTTAGAATCTGTCTCATTCGGATGTGGTATCGGTTCATTTATGTACCTCTTCTCTCTACTCGGGCGTCACGTGAAAAATTTAGAAAGAAGCTCGACTATATACTCTATAGTTGGTTGGGGTCTGTGGTCAATACAACTTGTTCTAGAACTAGTAGGTGTTTTGGGATTGGTCGTGTCATTGAAACTGACAAATTCGAGAAAAACAACAAAACGATCCGTGGGTATCTTCTCAGCCATATGAACGACTCTCTTTTTGATCACTTTGTAGTCTAAAAATCTGCATAGGTCATTTAAGACACGTTAGAGTCTAGATATGGTCGGGACAAAATGCAAGCAGGAGAAAATATGTCGTCGGTAAATGGCTGCAAGTTCAAATGTCAGACGACAAACTGATGATGGATCAGGTTCATGAATGACAATGTGTTGTTTGAAGGCATGAATATGTACGAGATTCTTCAAGCCAATGTGTTGCTCGAGAAATTTCCTCCTTCCAAGAGTGATTATCGCAACCACCTGAAACATAAGAAGAAGGACTTGACTCTGCAATAACTGACCAGTCATGTGTGCACGAAAAAAGCCAACAGGTTAAAGGATAATCTTTCTTCTCAATCCTTAAATTCAGTTAAAGCTAAAGGGAAACAAATTACGAGGGATAAAGCTCAAAATAACAAAAGTCTCCAATCCAAAAATACTAATCGAGAAATCGAAACTGGTATGTTGTGTCTGCGAAAAACCGAGGCATAAATCCTATCAGTGCACCCAGAGGAAAGATAGGAAAGATCAAAGAAGGGCTACTCCACAAACCAACCTTGCAGAGACGGATGGCATCATTGCCGCTGTGGTTGTGGAAGCAAATTTGACATAGAACAAATCCGACTGGATTCTTGACATAGAAGCGTCCAGACATTTTTGCTTGAATCATAACCTCTTCCATGACTTTCAGGACTTTGCTGATGGTGAATGTGTTTTTATGGGGAAATTTACCACAGCTTGAGTACTTGTGAAAGATAAGTTTCTCTTGAAACTCAAATCTGGCAAAACTTTATCATTAAGTAATGTGTTGTATGATCATTCCCTACGTAGAAATTTGGTGTCAAGAGGTTTGTTGAACTAGGCTGGACTTAGGATTGTGTTTAAGGCCGACAAGGTTATCATCATAAAAAACGGTGACTTTGTTGGTAAGAGCTATTTTGCAGGTGGTTTGTTTGTTCTCAACATTATTCCTTCAAATGAAATGAATTCTAGTTCTACTTACATCGTTGAGTCTCTTGATGCATGACATAGTAGATTATGACATGTGGATATTGCATCGATTAAAAGGCGTAGAACTTTAAATTTAATTAATGCTTCTGATTTGCATGAAATTGCAAAATGTTCTATCTGTGTAGAAGCAAAATTTGCTAAAAAAACATTCTAAACATATCACTGCAAGGTCTGCTGAACTCCTATAATTAATTCATTCTGATTTAGCTGATTTCAAAAACACAACTAGTAGAGGTGGAAAAATTACTATATTTATTTTGTTGATCATTTTTATAGATATACGAAAATATATCTCCTGTCTATATATTACAATCATATATATATATTGCAATAATATAAGAAATCAACTAGTTACGCTTGAGGAGTTTATATATATATACACACACACTTTGATGTTGAAAATTTGGACAGATCCATGTATTCTTTGAAACAGGTGATCGTCGAACAAATGAGCCTACAACAACGAATCTCGAAACCAATGCGATCCTCCGCCTAAATACTCTCTGAAAATCTTGTTAGTAATAAGAGAAAAGAGAGAACGATAGGCACCCGTGGTGTTCTGTTCTTTTTATAGGTGTTGGGGCCTGGGCCGACCAGGAATAACAGTACTTGGTATGCAACGTGGTGAGGTTCACTGATGTACGAGATTATGACTTTCTGATAGGGGACATTTCCAATGTAGAGTAGCAACCCGTCGCCCACCACCATGTCTTGAACTTGGTCTGTTGCCATCTCCATAATGTATGTGCATTGCAACAGGGTGTGTCGCGCCTCTCGTACATCCCTACAAGCACTAGTGTTGTTCCCTCCTCTAGTCGTACGTCTATAGGAGGTTTGGTCTCCACTACCAACTATCGTCACTCGAGCCTCACATATTTACTGTTTGATTTTCACCCTCAACATATATATTGTATTCTTTTCTTTATTTATAGATATATAAAAAGATAAAGAAAAAATAAAATAATAATATTTCTAAATTTAATTTGAAAAAAAAGCAAATTCAAAAGAAATAAGGTCACGTTTTACAACTAATTTTATGTTAATTACTTACTATTTCTTTCTAAATAAGAAAAATAAGATTAAATTTTAAAAAACTATATTTTATTTAATTTTTAAAAGTAAATACTAAAGTAAAGAAACAAATTTTATAAATATAATTTTCTTAAAAAATAAAAAAAAAAGAGATCGGCTCTGTTGGAAAATTGAAGATGAAGTAATTAAATTGGATATATTAGATAAATAGCTAACTTTATCTATAAAATTTTACCTAAAAATTCAAAAGCTTATGAAAATTGATATGAATTGATTAAAAATATAATTTTTTCATTGAATTTATCTTATTTCAAAATCTTTATAGCATATTTCTTGAGTGCATTTATTCTAGACAGTGGACCTCAATCCAAGTTCATACTACTTCAACTCAAATGTGTTTCTTGAAAATTCTCTCGCCCAAGTCTCCCTTTGTTTTCGAAGGTCAGTAGTTTGATTAATCCTGATACAAGGTTTTGGAGAATGGATTTAATTAGAGATGCAGACATTTTATCAATTCCTGTTGGTAGGGGAAGGGGGGTGATAGATTAATATGACACTATGAAAAGACGGGGGTTTATACAGTTAAAAGTGGGTACAAGTTTGCGCTCTCAAAGCAACCGAATCCTGAAGCATCCTCGTCGACTTATTAAATACATCCTCTTGGTGGAAAGGTGTGTGGAAGATGACTCTCCCTTGCAAACTTAAAGTGTTCTTTTGGCGGCTTTGCTTAGATAGGCTCCCCACTGGCGCCAGTCTATGCAAAAGGCGAGTAGACGTTTCCAAATTGTGTTTTTTTGCGGAAGAAAAGGGGAGGATATTTATCATGTGTTTTGGGAGTGCAAGGTTTCAAAATCAAAGTGGGAAGCTTCTAAATTTGTTAATCTTCCTACTAGGCCACCTCACCAAAATTCTACACTTTTTCTCAGAGACTGGCAAGAAAGATTGGGTTGGTCTGAGTTTTTGAGGAAGTGATCGTGTTATTATGGGGAATTTGGAATCAAAGAAATGGGAAGGCCTTCAATCCAAGTGGGGCAGATCTTCATGGTGATTTAGCTGAATGGGCTAGTTCCTACATCAGGGCATATAGAGCAGCAAATTCCAACCCTCCTCAGATTCGGCAAACAAGTGAAATCAGGTGGCACCCACCAAGTTATGGGGTTTATAAAATCAATACAGATGCATCTTTTTCTTCATCGAATTCAAATGCTGGTCTGGGTATCATCATAAGAAATTATCGAGGACAAATAATGGCGACAGCAACAAAATACCTGCAGAATGTCATGTCGGTGGATGAAGCAGAAGCTTTAGCAGCGGTGGAAGGGTTGAGAGTAGCGATGGAGTCCGGCATATACCCTGTGGAATTGGAGATGGATTCCATTCGAATTTTCAAGCTATTCAACAAGGAAATGGAAGACATTTCTGAGATTGGAGAAATTATTTCAGATGCCCGTGATAGTGTGGCTCCTTTTTTGCAAGCCTCTTTCAAATTTACGAAAAGGGAGGGGAATGAAGCAGCTCACCTGCTTGCTAGGCGTGCTCTTCTGCACCACGAACAGTTAATTTTGCTCGAAGATTGGCCGAACTCTACTCTGTGCTTTCGTTGGAGTGTGTGGATTGCTTAGTTTAGGTTTTACAGCCTTTTGTTTCAATCAAAAAAAAAAAAAAACTCAAATTTTGTTAGGGGCAAAGGAATACTATTATTATTTAAATAAAAATATTTTTAGTTTTTACTTGGGACACAATTCCACATTCTATTTCTTAAATTAATCTTACCTTCTCTATTATTAAATATTTTAGATGTGATTATTTATTTTCACTTTTCTAATTTATTCATTTCTTTATTGTTATGTACATCTTCGATCACTTCTCCCACCTTCTATTTCTATTTTGAGAAATATCATTTTATTAAAGAATGTAGGATTAACTCAAGATGGGATACTAGTGGATCAATTTTATAGGTATAAAAATTAAAAATATTTTTATCTAAATAATAATAGTACTCCTCTACGGAGCATAATTTGAGTTGAAGTAATCCGAAACTTCTCCTAGACATTTACGCGATCATTTTACCTCTATAAAGAGGTTGATCCCATTCATTTTTAGGATGATATTGACGTGGCAGGTATAGTGAATGAACGAGTGTTTATATACTTTTGGTAGTACGAAAATTTTTCTGACATGATATTCTGTCATTTGTCCACGTGTATAGAACAACATTCGCGTGTCCATGCCCGAGAAGTGTTGCGATCCAGCTCCAGCTCCAGGCCACAACCATTTATCCGCTTGCTTGCTTCCATTTATATAAATTATCTCGCCTAAATACAAACCCAAAAAAAAAAGAATCTTAATTTATTCTTCTCGCCGCCGCTGTAATGGGTCTTTTGGATCGTTGCGCCGATGTCTTCAACTTCTCTCACAGCCACAGCCACAGCGGCCACAGCAAGAAGCTCAAGAAAAACAATCAACTTCAGGTACGTACCATTCAAATTCATTAACCCACCTTAATTAATTATTAATTTTAGAATAAGAGTTTAATTAATAATGTTTTTTTTTTTGGTTGCAGAGGGTGGAGATAAAAGTGAAGATGGACTGCGAAGGGTGCGAGAGGAAGGTGAAGAAGTCGGTGGAGGGGATGAAGGGGGTGACGGAGGTGGAGGTGGAGCCGAAGCGGAGCAAGCTTACGGTGGTCGGTTACGTGGACCCCGACAAGGTCCTCCGCCGCGTCCGCCACCGGACCGGGAAGACGGCGGACCTCTGGCCTTACGTGCCCTACGACGTCGTCCAACACCCATACGCTCCCGGAACTTACGACAAGAAGGCGCCGCCGGGGTACGTCCGCAATGCCGCCGCTAACCCGGACGCCGCGCCGCTCGCACGTGCCAGCTCCGTCGAGGTCCAGTACACCACCGCCTTCAGCGACGACAATCCCAATGCCTGTGCTTTAATGTAATCTTAATATTGCAGTTCATCAAATCTTTTCCTTTTTACTGGAAGGGCCAAGGTTATTACTTGTAAATATAACACCTTTTTTCTTTTAGGAAGGTTGTACTTTGTAGCGTAGCTCAACTTGTAATATATATATATATATATATATATATATTAACTTATTTGGAGTGAGAGAGTTTATATTACAAGTTTAGTTTTAGAGGTCTTTTTTTCTCATTTATTTTTATTGTAATAATATAAAAACAGAGTATTTAACGTAGTGAAGCGAAGTTTCTTATATTTAGAGATTTTTTTCTAAAAAATAAGATATTAAATTATATAAGAAAATAGAAAAAAGGTAACAATCTTTAAAAAATTGGATTAGTTAAAAAGTATTAAAATGAATTAAATTGTATTTAAGTTTTACCATTTTCAAACAAATTATTATTAAATAGATTAATAATATTGTATGATATATTAATAAAAATATTTTTGTAAAAATGAATACGCGTCTCTAAAGTGAAAAAGATGTATTAGTAAAAATTGAATTATCCTTACTTCAATAATTTGTATTGAAAAAATATTTTTATAAAAAATGAACACATCTAAAATGTAGAAAAAAGTTATTAAGATGTAGATTCTTACTCATCCCATAAGAAATTTATAATTTTGATGATAATTCAATGGAGAACAAAGACAATCTAAATTGGGCCTAGGCCCAATAAGATTTCGGAATGGGCTAGCCCTTTAACATTCGCGCGCTCGAAGCGCAACTTTGGTTAGCTTCTCATAGACGCCTTTCGCCGAGTCTTCCCTATAAAAACTCACCGCGTTCTCCTCGAACCCGCGAAATCCGCTCGGTAAATTTGTAAACCTCTGGCGCGACCAAACTTCTCTCTTCTTCTACCTGGAGAAGAGATCTTCCATTGAAACTCACTCTCTGCTCTGCTGATTTGCCACTCCGAATCTTCAAAATGGATTTACAACTCCCCTCCGTATGGTTTTCTAAATTATAGATTATGTCTCGGAGGATGAAGAAGACGGAGAAGAACCTGGTTTTATTATCGTCGGATGAAGAAGAACACTGTAGCGGTCGATCATCTGGTTCGAAACGCAGTAACAGCAAGATGAAGTCGAGATCACCATTTCCTCGGAAGAGCACTCGGCAAGTGAAGAAGGCTCGACTCCTAGGTTCTCGGTCTAGCTTGCATAAGGATTCCCGTAACTTTGACGAGGTACATATCAAATTCTTTTTGTTGCTTATCCAAGCTTCACATTACTCTATTATCTCCGTCTTGGATTCTGGAGTGTGTGCGTGTGAGAATGAATTCCACTGGTTTGTAGTTGTTCTGAAGAAAAACATTCGTTCAGTCCGCATTTTTGTCTTATTTTCTCGAGCTCGGTCCTTATGTTAAGCGAAATGTTGACAATCAGGAGGAGTTTTGAGTTTTCCTATGCCGAACTTTTTTCTCCTTACTTCAAATATTATTTTTCGAGGGCTTTTCAGTTAAGTCTACTATTCTTTTTCGCTAATGTGATTTTTGATGAGTTACTTCGTTAATGCAGTTCAACTTAATATGTGAAGATTTTGATCAAGTATTTTCTGCCTTCAAGGTATCTGCTGGTACGCCATTACTGTGTCACTGTAGTTTCTTTCAGTTTTTCTATGGATCTCTTTGGTGTATATCAATGGAATGATCTTCCGCTAATCTATATTCTACAGTGGAGTCAGTTAGATGGAAATTAGAACAATCTGAAGTTGAAGTTAAAATTTATTTTCAAATATCTCAGTATTTTTACAACTAGTTTTCGAATTGCATATTGAAGTTAGAACCTCTGTGATTTTAGTTTAGATTAGTTACGTTTAGCTTCTTGCTTGATGTGCATCAGGTTCTGGGGGCATTTGCACAAATGAATTATGGATTAATAAATACAAACCACGTTCGTTGGAAGAGCTTGCTGTACACAAGAAGAAGGTCATTCTAGCTCGCTTCTTTGTCTATTTCAAGTTCTTTGTCCATTTCAAATGTTATATCGATGTCTTTTTCTATGTCATGGCAGGTAGAAGAAGTGAAGGTATGGTTTGAAGAAAGGTTGAGATCACCTAAGGTAATCCTATTATTTTGAAGGTTTTTATATTGATAGGTCGAAATATTAATGATAAATGAAGTAAGACGGTATACATGGTCAATTTAAAATATTTGAAGGTTTCCATTGTTTGTTCCTGCCATCCATTGTTAGGTTTTGATGATTTCATTTTACACGGTTTGCAGGACCTTCCCAGCAATCATGTTCTTGTCATCACTGGTCCTGCTGGAGTTGGGAAATCCGTATGTGGCTGTGATTATCTTTCACGGACTTATGCTTATAGATATTTATATTTCTCATTTTAAGCACAGATGCCGAGTTATGTTTTGAACTTAGTATTGCCATCTAACTGATATCTTATGTCAATAGCATGTAATTGGTTTTCTTTGATTTGTGAACTTGGAAATCTCTGATATTTGTCCTGATCAGTCTAGTTTTGCGTCACTTTTTTATTCTTAAATTTTAAAGCGCTTCAATGTTATTCCAGTACACGTTATCTAACTTACAGGGTAAAGTTCACTTGGTTACTATATGTATATCTGTACTTTATCATTTGCTTCTAACTTGAACTTTATTTGTCTAAGTGAATTTAATATGGTATTGGGACATCCACTAATGAATTTGTGGAAATTATTGTTATTTTGGTCATTTTATCATTTTGAAGTGCTCAAGGGGTAGTCCTGTTGGCTAGGGCCTAGGGTCTCTTGGTCATACTGGTTTATAGGTCTCAAGTTTGAATCATTTTATCATTTGAAATCAATTAGTGCATGCATGCTTTTTCATCTGTATTGTTCCTTCTCATTATACTTTCGTCTTAAACCTTGCTATTTCTTTTAAATTATTAAAAAGAATCCCTGCTCCTGCAGGCAACTGTTCATGTGGTAGCATCTCATCTTGGAGCCAGATTATGTGAATGGGATACACCTACTCCTGTGGTTTGGCAAGAGCATCTGCATAACTCAAGTGCAGGTACTCTAATAAATCAATATAAGGCTTCCTTATGGAGTAGATCAAATGCAATATCATACTGGTTCAAGATGCTCTCTTATTGTTGGAAGGTTTATTGCTCATCCTACATTGTCTTGGTGTCTTATTGGCATACACCTCCTAGATAAAGAAAATTGCTCATTTTATTAGATCTTTCAAGCCATGTGAAGTGAAACACTTGCATTCTTTGCTTGAAAATTTCTCATCAACTATATTTTTAATATATGAAAATAATAGTGTTGAGGGTTGATCTAATCAGGTTGCATGTTTGTGTAGTTAATTAAGACAACATGTAGAACACACCTTCACACATATTTACTCTATGATGTGCTTCTGCGAGGTATGGTTTTGATACGTCTATTAATGTTGTGTAACCTATAGATTTTTCTGTTATTGATGAGAGTCTTTCATCTTCTAATGTTTGCGAAAAAATTTCTGGCCCTGACTTGTCTTCAATCAGGGCTACAGTACACATCTAAACTGGATGAGTTTGAAAGTTTTATTGAGAGAATGAGGAAGTATGGAGTAATATCTTCATGCTCTCTTGGAGAATCAAAACAACCGGTCATACTCTTGATAGATGATCTTCCTTTGACCCATGGGAAGGCTGCTCTTCAAAGACTTCAGAACTGTTTGCAAATTTTTGTGCAATCAACTCAAGTTCCAACAGCCATTTTGATTACGGATTGTGCTAAAGGTGAAACAACAGACCTCACCGTACGGTACTTGGAAGAGCTTCAGCTGTGTCTTGAGAATGCTGGGGCTTGTAAGGTTACTTTCCTGAATAAGATTGTAGGGCTTGTCATTGTTTAGGGATTAAAGCATATCTAATGGTGCTGCTGACACTGGATTACTTTTTTCAGGTTGCATTTAATCCTGTAACTAATAACTCCATTAAAAAGGTAATTTCCAGAATTTGTAGTCAAGAACAGTACAATCTGGCAGTTGATCAGATTGATGCAATAGCTAAAGCAAGTGGTGGTGACGTGAGGCATGCAATCATGTCTTCACAATTATTTTGTCTGAAACCAAGTCAGATTTGTTCTTTATCAACACCTAGTGCTCCGACATCTACAAAAGAATATGAAGAGGCGTCTCCTATTGTGGGAGATGATGGATTCTCTTTTCAATTTGGGCGAGATGAGACACTCTCTTTGTTCCATGCCCTGGGAAAGTTTCTGCATAACAAACGACAGATTAAAAATGATTCTGAGCCAGGTCTGTTTCATCTGTGAATAATGTGCCGAGGTGGAAGGGCTGGTAATTTGGAATTTGAATTTTAAAAAGAGTAATGCGAAGCTTTGGGTGGGATTCTATTCACAGTGTCATGAAAGATTTCTCAAGCTCGGTACCTTGTTTATGTTTGCAGATGGTGCGTTTTGTGTTCAAGAAAGTTTGTTGAGATTGCCACTTAAAATGGAGCCTCCAGAAAAGGTTCTATGTCAAGCACATGGGCAAGCCAGGTCGATTGCTGATTTTCTACATGAAAACGGTGAGCTTATCTGCTATGCTGCTATGTGTTGGTGTATCACTGTTATTGCTCTTGTATAATAGTTTCTTTTCTTTTCCCCCGTGTCCATGTATTATGGGACTTTGAGGCGGAAAAAGAATACTATCAGCAGTTATGTATTATTTTGACTCCTTTGAAACAAGATTTCGTTTATTTTCAACTTTTTCACACTTTTCTTGCAGTTCTTGACTTCATGAATGAGGAAGCAATAGATGATGCATGGCTCGTGGCTTCGTATTTGGGGGATGCTGACACTCTCATTTCTTCTTATGATGGAATCCTAGCTAGACATAACGATGCAGAAAATATTTTACACCTGGCTGCTGCTTCAGTTGCCGTCCGTGGGGTATTATTTGGCAACTCTCATCCATTGTCTTCCAGGTGGTTCTTATGAATATAAATGATTATTCGAAAGCAAAAACTATTACATTTTTACAAATTTTGACTCTTCCAAGTACGCAGGTGGCATGCTATTCGTAGACCAAAGCTTTGGCAAACCGAGGGATCTTCATTGTTCAATAAGGTGAATTGAGTTCTACAACAGTTTTACTGTTAAACCAAGGTGCCGAGCCCCTCTACAGAGGGTATTTTCAATTCCACTGCTTGGCCTACAGTAGATAATAGATATTAGGGTTTTTGGGCGTCTTCTTTAGGTTTTTAGCTGCTAGAAGTTTTTCAAACGGACACTATATTATGTTCTGACTAGTGAATTGATACTAGGCACATCGTTTTAGGTAACCTCTCTGTTGGATTAAGTTATTGGATCTGCCAGGGAAAGATTTATGTCGCAATAGCTACGAACGTTCTAAGTTGATGTTATACTAGTAGATAATTTCTCTTGTTTTTTCCCCTCCAATGTGTTGCAGACCGAGATGGCAAAACAAAGATTTATTGCTTATGGTGGGCTCAGTTCGGCTGATATTTCAGTAGTTGCCACCGAGTACCTACCTGCGTTGAAGTGGCTTGGTAGTAGTGCAACCGGAGATCATGAAAATTTACAGGTGTTGACAGAAGTAAATGCAGATTTTGATTTAGTGGATTCCGGAGATGAAATTGAGGATTGGTAAATTAGATAGGCACCTCGTTATGTAAGCAAATCCCAATATGATTGGCAGTCTTGCTCCACACCAAGTTCGGTTTTGTAAAATGTTATGAACTTCTCTTCATTATTCAAATATTAATATGAAATTGAGTACAAATTATCGTCTTTGTTACAGAAATCCTGCGCCTTTTCATTTAAGACGGTGTCAAAATTGACCCTTGGGAATCAGCTTCCAGCAGACGTTTCCCAGAGGGAGTTCTGAGTAGGTACGGTCGTATGTTTCTCAAATATGTTGAAATTTTTAGCGTAATAGTGTCAGCTGTGATGTATATATAAATACACGAATTGCATATAATTCGACTGTGCAAATGGATCATAGGGAAATATTATGAGGTAATGCCTTAAGAAAATAAACTTCCGAAAATTTAATGAGATATCTATTTACAGAAACACACGACTAACCATAAGCGCTGAAAAACTATCAGTTCTACAAAATTCCCGGCTCTGTATTTTTACTCCCGCGCCAATTCAAAGGAGTAGGCGCGGTCATTCCTTCTCACCCCGTCATAAAAGCGAGCAAAATAGTTCACTTGCATCATATTTTTCGTGACCTCAACGAAATCTTCCATCAAAATGAATGATGTTAGATGCCTTGCTTACACTTTTTCCAGCAAACTCTCCCCTTGTCGAATTCACATCTATGCACAGGAATTGGTCGGAATAACCCTCTTTTGATCCAGGCCTTGTTCTTACGGTAGTAATCTCTTCACCTCATGCTGGCCAGGATTCTTAGTTTGATTGTAAACTCCCTCGTATGCGTGCATACATACACTTGAAAACCCAACCATTGCTTGGAAAACATGCGGAAAACTCATCTGCAAGTTATTTATTGTCATTGCCCTCGTCACACTTATCAAGTTTTCATGCTTTTGCTTCTCATCTCGAGCTTTTGTTCTCAAGTTCTCCACCTTATTTTGCTTCTCCTGAACTGGGTCTCTCCCTTTAGTGGATGCCGAGCATTCTCGCATCGAATGCGAGACATATTTACTTTCCAGTGATCTTAGCTCAGTAGCTCTCTTCTCCAGCTCTTTTGAGGCAGAATCTGCCTTCTTCTTTTGCCTGTATTCCTCGGCTTGTTGAACAACAATAGCATGAATTACTGTTAAGAAGCTCTTGATTCCTTCGGAAGCCACTTTGTCTGGAATCCTATCAACTGCCAGGTTCCATTCTTCACAGAGAGAGTAAATTCTAGAATCTTGACCTGTTCGTACTAGTGGGTTTCCACTTATCTGGAAAAGGCTAAGCCGGAGCCAGCCTGTAAGAGATTGGACGTAATCCCGTTGAGCTTTCACTATATTGCAAAAAGAAACATGCCATTGCTGGACTTCAAGCTCAAGTTGGAGAGTAGATTGGCGGTGGATCTCGGATGTGGGCTCGGCAGATGGTATGATGTTCAGATATTTGAGCTGCTCAACAATGTGTGTTTGGACCTGATGGCACTCGTACATACTTCTCCACATGCACATCAATCTGTATAAACCAGAACAAATCTTAGTGTTTTAGAATAGGAAATCTCCCAAATTAAAATGCAATCTTAGTGTGCTTAGTAGTTCCATCTAGGCTTCCTAAAACACCAGAAGGTAGCAAAACAAAATCTGTACAAGTGAACTGTGAAATCATGCAGAAAATGGACCTCACACAGGTTGTCTGGGTCAACCAATTCAAATCAATCATATCTTAAAAGGTGAAATGAAAAATAATGGCTCTCTAAAATCCTCAGCCAATTTGAATCGTTCTGTGACTCTCCTGAACTCGGGAATAATGCAAGCATCAGGATAGTAGTGATTTCCCATTTATGATGAGGCCAAAACACAAGTTTGAAAGAGACTAACCCTTTGACAAGCTCAAGGAGTTGTGGGTAGAGCTCAATTTCTCTTAGCTTGATGATTTCAGCAGACGTGGTTTCAATGGCCTGAGATGCAACCATCATCTGTGACTCCAACTTTTCAACCTCTTTCTTAGTCTTCTCAGTCTTTACATAATCCGCCCTCTTCAGCTCTAGCTTCCTCAACTGTTCCACCTTCTTCTCATGCTCTATCCTTATGGCCTCGGCA